GTTAGGATTCTGCTTCGCTGTGTCACTGTGACGCTGTGTTGTTATAACGTTATATCACTGTATCGCTGCGTCACTGTATCGCTGCGTCACTGTATCGCTGCGTCAATGTATCGCTGCATCACTGTATCGCTGCGTCACTGTATCGCTGCGTCACTGTATAGCTGCATCACTGTATCGCTGCATCACTGTATCGTTGCGTCACTGTATCGCTGCGTCACTGTATCGCTGCGTCACTGTATAGCTGCGTCACTGTATAGCTGCGTCACTGTATCGCTGCGTCACTGTATCGCTGCGTCACTGTATCGCTGCGTCACTGTAATGCTCTACCATATTTAGAGTGAACAGTCAATTGTAAACCTCTACTCTGACATCAAAACACCGCTAAGACTTCTTCAATGACATCCAGTGACATGAATAAGACATGAGCGACCTTCCATGAACTCTACTCCTCAATGACATCGTGTGACCTCAAATGACCTCCTCAGTGACGTCATATGACCTCAAATGACCTTTACACCTGGTTTTTTTCTGCTCCGAGTGATCGATTCAGAGTCACGGGGCAGTAAATTGAAAGAGTAGAGTGTGGAACTAACGGTGTGCACGGTGGTCATCTCCCTCATTGTGGCCAAGCTAGGTGGCCATCTCCATCATATGGCTCAAGCTGGTTTGGCCATCTCCTCACTATGTCAACTAGGTGGCCATCTCCCTCACTATGGCTCAACTAGGTGGCCATCTCCTCACTATGGGCTAATTTGGCCATCTCCTCACTATGGCCAAGCTGGGTGCCTACTCTCAATATGGCCCAGCTAGGTGGCCATCTCCTCTCCTATGGCCCAGCTAGGTGGCCATCTCTCTCACTATGGCCAAGCTAGGTGGCCATCTCTCTCCTATGGCTCAACTAGGTGGCCATCTCCTCACTATGGCTCAACTAGGTGGCCATCTCCTCACTATGGCCAAGCTAGGTGGCCATCTCTCTCTCCTATGGCCCAGCAGGTGGCCATCTCTCTCCTATGGCCAAGCTAGGTGGCCATCTCTCTCCTCCCTCTATGGCCCAAGCTGGTGGCCATCTCTCAACAAGCTGACTGGTGGCCATCTCTCTCACTATGGCCCAGCTAGGTGGCCATCTCCTCACTATGGCCAAGCTAGGTGTCCATCTCTCCTATGGCCCAAGCTAGGTGGCCATCTCCGTCACTTGTACCAACTGAGGCATCTCCTCACTATGGCTCAACTAGGTGGCCATCTCCCCACTATGGCCAAGCTAGGTGGCCATCTCTCACTATGGCCCAGCTAGGTGGCCATCTCTCCTCACTATGGCCCAGCTGGGTGGCCATCTCCCTCACTATGATGCCAGCTAGGTGGCCATCTCTCTCCTATGGCCCAGCTAGGTGGCCATCTCCCTCCTATGGCTCAGAGCCATCTCTCACTATGGCCCAGCTAGGTGGCCATCTCTCTCCTATGGCCTTCAGGTGGCCCATCTCCCCTCACTATGGCCCATCTGGGTGGCCATCTCTCTCCTATGGCCCAGCTAGGTGGCCATCTCCTCCTATGGCCCAGCCTAGGTGGCCATCTCTCTCCTATGCCCAGCCCCAGGTGTGTCTCCCCTCTCACTATGTCAGCTAGGTGGCCATCTCTCTCACTCAGCCCAGCTAGGTGGCCGTCTCTCCTCACTGTGGCCTTCAGGTGGCCATCTCTCTCTCTCTGTGCCCAGCTAGGTGGCCATCTCCTCCTATAGCCCAAGCTAGGTGGCCATCTCTCCTTCACTACGGCCCAGCTAGGTGGCCATCTCTCACTATGGCCCAGCTAGGTGGCCATCTCTCTCCACTATGGCCCAGCTGGTGTGCATCTCTCTCACTATGGCCCAGCTAGGTGGCCATCTCTCTGGCCCAGCTAGGTGGCCATCTCCTCACTATGGGCCAAGCTGAGGTGGCCATCTCTCCTATGGCCCAGCTAGGTGGCCATCTCTCTCACTATGGCCCAGCTAGGTGGCCATCTCCTCACTATGGCCAGCTAGGCCATCTCTCTCCCACTGTAGCCTTCAGAGTGGCCATCTCTCACTATGGCCCAGCTAGGTGGCCATCTCTCTCACTATGGCCCAGCTGAGTGTGCATCTCCCTCACTATGGCCCAGCTAGGTGGCCATCTCTCCTCTATGCCCAGCTGGGTGGCCATCTCCCTCACCATGGCCCAAGCTGGGCCATCTCTCTCCTTATGGCCCAGTGGCATCTCTCTCACTATGGCCCAGCTAGGTGGCCATCTCTCTCCTCCTATGGCCCAGCTAGGTGGCCATCTCCCCTCCTATGGCCCAGCTAGGTGGCCATCTCTCTCCTATGGCCCAGCTAGGTGGCCATCTCCTCACTATGGCCCAGCTGGGTGGCCATCTCCTCACTATGGCCCAGCTAGGTGGCCATCTCTCTCTCACTATGGCCCAGCTAGATGTGCTGTAGAAATAAGTCAAGTATCTCACGGAAGTTCTTGAATCTTTCTATGTTTCAGAGGTAAATGTTTTTTGATAACAGGAAAACATTTTGGAGTGAATCTCTTTGTATTAATTTAAGTGACTCAGGTAAACGTTCTCTCCTTCGTTTCCAATTAAGGGAAAAAAATATTAACTTACGATCTTTTTGTGTCTCTCTTCTTCTTCTTTCTCCCCTTCTCTTCCACCTCCTCTTTCTCCCCCTTCTCTTCCTCCTCCTCTTTCTCCCCTCTCCTTCCTCCTCCTTTTCTCCCCTTCCTCTTCCACCTCCCTCTTTCTCCCCTTCTCTTCCACCTCCTCTTTTCTCCCCTTCTCTTCCCTCCTCTTTCTCCCCTTACCTCCTCTTTCTCCCCCTTCTCTTCCTCCTCCTACTCCTCTTCCTCCTACCTGGATGTTTGCCTCGGGTGACCACCTGCGGTTATTGTTACCACCTGTAGCTATAATTACCATCTGCGCCTATTGTTATCTCTCTCTCTCTCTCTCTCTCTCTCTCTCTCACAGACAATTACTGGTCCGCTAATTACTCATCTACCTTATAGCTCGTTAAGACACTCACAACACTGTGTCTCACTCCCACCTGTAACTTGTGAGAGGGGGGAGTGGGGGTGAGAGGTGGAGAGGGGTGAGAGAGAGAAGCTTGAGTGGGTTCTATTCCATGAAATTTAATTTACTTTACTAATTAATAGAATTATTATTATTATTATTATTATTATTATTATTATTATTATTATTATTATTGTTATTATTTATTATTATTATTTATTATTATTTATTATTATCATCATCATCTTCATCATCATCGTCATCACCACCAACACCATCACCACCAACACCATCACCACCATCACCACCAACACCATCACCACCAGCACCACCAACACCATCACCACCAACACCATCACCGCCATCACCACCAACTTCCATCTCACCAACGCCATCACCACCAACACCATCACCCACCAACACCATCACCTGCATCACCACCAACACCATTACCACCAACACCGCTCCACCCACCAGCACACCACCAACACCATCACCACCAACACCATCACCACCAACACCATCACCACCAACACCATCACCACCAACACCATCACCACCAACACCATCACCACCAACACCATTACCACATGACACAGTTTATGACTTCGCCGTAAGCTTCCCAGGAGGAGTCTGTCAACATGAAGCTGTGTGTGATTGCTTCAAACGGGACTCAAGACGATGATTAGATCCTACGTTTTTCTTTAACCTTCTCCTCTTCTTTTCTCTTCTTTCTTTTTATTTTTATTTTTACTTCTTTTGTCATCTCAGTGCCTTGTTTTTCGGTGAATGAAATCTAATTTTACGCTCGTTGGCATGGAGGTGAAGGAGGAATGGCTGCCCGTGGGAACAAGGTCGCCCCTCACTCCATTTATTTTCAGGATTTTTACATTGATTTTTTTTTTTACGTATTATCATTGCATTGAAACTCACAAAAATTCCTCTAAAATATTTTCTATAGAATAAGATATAATACTGAATATTCATACATAGATAAAGACTTAGAAGATTTTATTAACTTAAAATCGAGTATAATTGTCATTTACTCAAGTCTCCTGATTTTCGTTGGGATGAGTTGGTTTTGTTGACATTGACGAGCCAGAGTGATGGAATCTAATTGTGTGGGAGACTCAAATCCTTTTTGTTTTGTTAATTTTATTCTTAGATGGAATTCCAGACTGTTTGTTTTGCTCAATCTGTTTTTTGTTTGCATATATATTTATTGATCTCTCTCTCTCTCTCTCTCTCTCTCTCTCTCTCTCTCTCTCTCTCTCATACCAGCTGATTATATTAGGTGTTATATAATCAACGTATATCACGCTGTGTATATAATTACTCTGTTATAGACGTCAAACTACGTTATTCTGTCCCAGTCTTCCTTATACGCCTGGCGATCGGTCGTCAGGCGATGAGTGTACTAATTATATTATATCATTCATCCATATATGCCTGGCGAACGTGAGTCAGGCTATGGAATATACTAATTATATTATATTAGTGTTTCCTTACATGGCCTTGAGTTGATGTACCTGGCGTACGTTCGTCAGGCGCAAGCACTAGAAGATATTATTATTATTATTAGAATTATTTTTTTCCTGTTATCATTACCACCATTGTAATTGCTACGAGTTTCATTCCCAGTACACCCTCAGGGCACACCGTCACCACCACCACCCCTTCAGGCAAGTCCCCAGGGCACGACCACCACCACCCCGCGTCCCACCCCACAAAACACCATCTCTCCTCCTATCACTTAAGACTCCTCTATGACCGGGGGCCCCGTTAACTCCTACCTCACTAAAACCAACAAATAAACCCGTGTGTATATTTTGCGGTTTATTCCCGGACGATATTAATGACTATGAGTTTATTCCCAGAAGAAGGAAGTGAATCTATCGACCTGGTAATTATTTAAGAGCTAGTGAACGAAGAGTTGTGGTGTGTGTGGTGGAGGCCAAGGTGGTGTGTGAGCGAGGCAGTGTACAACAGTTAGTGACCGTCTGCCGAGGTGGACGGACCTAAACCTTCATTCCTCCCGGTCTCTCACATAAACCCTTCTACACCTCTCTCTCTCTCTCTAACTCACTTTCTCTCACACCGACGTTCAATAAGAGAGAAACTTACGATAAACAAACTTACTGAGTGAAAGAATCTGATAAATCACCAAATTACCATCGGAATGTGGATCATAATAGTGACCAACCCAACTCCTCAACTACCCTGAACTACGTCACCGAACTGGCTCAAGCACAGCCCTCAAGAGCCAACAATGTACATGCTTAATGCTTGACGACCATCCAAGCTTGAGTTATAACTTGAGGGAAATTTGTTTGGTTTGAGTGTGAGTTTTGTGTTGACTTCTGAGGTGAAGGAGAATAGCCTCGAGTTGCTGCTCCTGCTTCTGTTGTTGCCACTCTTGGTAAGTACCTCACCCTTCAGTACCTCACCCTTCAGTACCTCACCCTTCAGTACCTCACCCTCCAGTACCTCACCCTCCAGTACCTCACCCTCCAGTACCTCTCCCTCCAATACCTCTCCCTCCAGTACCTCACCCTCCAGTACCTTACCCTTCTTTACCTCACCCTTCAGTACCTCACCCTCCAGTACCTCACCCTCCAGTACCTCACCCTCCAGTACCACCTCCAGTACCCACCCTCCAGTACCTTGTCATGATTCTTGAGCCTGAAATACCGGAATCGTGAATCCTGAACCTCGAATCCTGAATCTTTTATACTGAATCTAGAATAACTTGATCTGAATCTTTAATCGTGAATCTCTAAAACTGAATCTTGTCTCGTGAATAAACCCAGAAGAGGTCAAAAAACTTTCTATATATAATGCAGTTACAGTGATACTACAGTGATGAAACAGTGAGTGTAGTGATGCGTCTGTAGGGTCCCGTTAACTGAAACCGGATTTAGTATCGAAAATATAGGTTACGTTTTTTTTTGTGTGTGGCGACCGATATATTTAGTAGTAGTAGTAGTAGTAGTAGTAGTGGTAGTGGTAGTAGCAGTAGTAGTAGTAGTAGTAGTAGTAGTAGTAGCAGTAGTAGTAGTAGCAGTAGTAGTAGTAGCAGTAGTAGTAGTAGCAGTAGTAGTAGAATCTAGTTATCGCCTCAATAAATGGGTAATGCACCTTTAGAATCTAGTTATCGCCTCAATAAATGGGTAATGCACCTTTAGAATCTAGTTATCGCCTCAGTAAATGGGTAATGCACCTTTAGAATCTAGTTATCGCCTCAATAAATGGGTGATGCACCTTTAGAATCTAGTTATCGCCTCAATAAATGGGTAATGCACCTTTAGAATCTAGTTATCGCCTCAATAAATGGGTAATGCACCTTTAGAATCTAGTTATCGCCTCAATAAATGGGTAATACACCTTTAGAATCTAGTTATCGCCTCAATAAATGGGTAATGCACCTTTAGAATCTAGTTATCGCCTCAGTAAATGGGTAATGCACCTTTAGAATCTAGTTATCGCCTCAGTAAATGGGTAATGCACCTTTAGAATCTAGTTATCGCCTCAGTAAATGGGTAATGCACCTTTAGAATCTAGTTATCGCCTCAATAAATGGGTAATGCACCTTTAGAATCTAGTTATCGCCTCATTAAATGGGTAATGCACCTTTAGAATCTAGTTATCGCCTCAGTAAATGGGTAATGCACCTTTAGAATCTAGTTATCGCCTCAGTAAATGGGTAATGCACCTTTAGAATCTAGTTATCGCCTCAATAAATGGGTAATGCACCTTTAGAATCTAGTTATCGCCTCAATAAATGGGTAATGCACCTTTAGAATCTAGTTATCGCCTCAATAAATGGGTAATGCACCTTTAGAATCTAGTTATCGCCTCAATAAATGGGTGATGCACCTTTAGAATCTAGTTATCGCCTCAATAAATGGGTGATGCACCTTTAGAATCTAGTTATCGCCTCAGTAAATGGGTAATACACCTTTAAAGAATCTAGTTATCGCCTCAGTAAATGGGTAATGCACCTTTAGAATCTAGTTATCGCCTCAATAAATGGGTAATGCACCTTTAGAATCTAGTTATCGCCTCAATAAATGGGTAATGCACCTTTAGAATCTAGTTATCGCCTCATTAAATGGGTAATGCACCTTTAGAATCTAGTTATCGCCTCAATAAATGGGTAATGTACAGTTGAAGACAAAATTTCCTGGACAATTGGCAGTACCTAACTATTTGAGAATCATTAGGTGAAGATTATTGGAATTTTAGCGTGAAAAGATATATATAACTTGTACCAATACATAATAATTTGACGCCAGGAATATAAGAGTAAAACAAGTAATATATTTTAAAAATTATAATTCTCTTCAGAAAAACTTATGAAAACACTGTTGTTCTACTCAACATCTTTAGAGTTTTGATCGCTGCTGCCATTAAATAGGTTACTGCACCTTTAGAATAAGAATTACAACATTAAAAAGTGTTATTGGCGCCGTGATTGACTTAAATACATAGAGTGGGTCAACGCACCTCACAAGGACGTCAACAATGTCAGCTGGATCCGTCTTATTCTCACCTCCCGACATCTTTATTCTCTTAAAACATAATAAAAACTCTATTACCAAATTACCAAGTCATCACAGTAGTAAAAAAAAATTAATGTAAATAATTTGACCTTTTTATATTATGTTTTACTACGTGGTGGAAGAGAATAGTTAATCTCAGTGTCGAGTTAAATAAGATGATTATCGTACATCGGTAGGAGATTCGTTATGAATGCTGAAGTTGCCAGATAGAACAATAATGCAACTGGAGTGTTATTTTTTTCTTTTGTTTCGTTATTCATGTCATGATTCTCTAACAATAATTTATTTGAGTTGATATATTTTTTTCTTTTATGCGATGATATATGATAAAAGAACAATGATTAATATACCGCTAAAAATATATATAAGCTAATCAAACTTTATACATCGTGCAACATGGCATCCGAAGTATATCAACCTGGAGGGATTCTTTTCCCAGAAGATACTAGGACTTCCAGGTACCGCTAGCGTACGTATCAAGCTGTATTTGGACAGTCTGACTAATGACTTCTTAGCTCCTCTTGGGAATTATAAAAAAACAAAACACAAAAGTCCTGAGGAAGAATTACTTTTTAACTGCTCATAACAAAGGCGTTGAGATAATTAAGTTGATTATGTAGAGTTGCTTCTTGTACTTCCTCATGAGGGTAATTTTTTTTCCCAGGTGAAGGTTCGTCTCTTCACCTCAACCCACATGACCTCTTGCTGACCCCTGAGAGATCTTCACTTCACTCAGGGATATTTTGTAACTTTTTAATAAACTTATGTAATAATAACTCCTGCTGACATTTATTGACCCCAGCTGACATTTATTGACCCCAGCTGACATTTATTGACCCCGGCTGACATTTATTGACCTCAGATGATATTTATTGACCCCAGCTGACATTTATTGACCCCGGCTGACATTTATTGACCTCAGATGATATTTATTGACCCCAGCTGACATTTATTGACCCCAGCTGACATTTATTGACCAAAGATGATATTTTTTACCGCAGCTGACAAGAGAGAGAGACAGACAGACTGACAGACAGACAGACAGACAGACAGACAGACAGACAGACAGACAGACAGAGAGACAGAGTGAAAGAGAGCGAGAGAGACAAGGGTCAGCACACACACACACACACACACACACACACAGGGTCGTGTCCAGCCTATTCAAACTCACCCGTTCGTATCGCTACTGGACGTTCACTGGCGTTCATCTCCCTTTACAGTGGTCCAGGAGACGTTCACTGGCGTTCATCTTCCTTGACAGTGGTCCAGGAGACGTTCACTGGCGTTCATCTCCTGACAGTGGTCCAGGAGACGTTCACTGGCGTTCATCTTCCTTAACAGTGGTCCAGGAAACGTTCACTGGCGTTCATCTTCCTTGACAGTGGTCCAGGAAACGTTCACTGGCGTTCATCTTCCTTGACAGTGGTCCAGGAAACGTTCACTGGCGTTCATCTTCCTTAACAGTGGTCCAGGAAACGTTCACTGGCGTTCATCATCAGTTTCGTTTATTTAGTCTATTTCTTACACAAGTCTAATCTGTTTATCTGTTTTAACTCCAGTTCTATAAAACTTTGAATTTACGAACGTTTGAGAATCCATCTTTGTAGTGTAGTGTAGTGTCGTGTAGTGTGTCGTGTAGTGTGTGTGCCGTGTAGTGTAGTGTGTGTCGTATAGTGTAGTGAGGCAACAAACCCATTATCACTCCTACAGTGGTCCAATTAACCTATTATTATTAGGGCTCCATAAAACACGTGACCTCTTACACTTATTAAAACCTCTATATATATATATATATTAAGGCCACCATTATCCACCTCACAGCCAGATTAACACTAACCCCCATATGTATATTTTCTACTCCTTCACAGAGCTGATCTACGCGTGTGACCAGGATTACCTACTCCGTCAGCGTCGCCTTCAGGATTCCCACAATGTCACGGTGGAGTTGGTCCCGCGGGTGTTTGTCAGTGACGTGCATCCTCGCGGCCATCTACCTTACCACTGGCCACCCTTTACTATACCTCAGAGGTACCCGATATGGTAGGACCCACGCCATCATCTGTTTATCTTTCAGCTCGAACGCACTTAAAGGGGACTTTTTGTCACCTCTTACTAGTGATGCTTCGTAGTGCCACTTAGAAATTTACTAGTACCTGGCGATTAACACCTAAGTATATAAGTAACACTTTATTAAACTTATACAATACACTTAACTATTTTTGAAGGGATTATTGAATTAAGTAAAGTAGATTTTTAATTGATAATGAGACGTAAATATTTAGATTGTTTTTACCGACTCCCCTCCCCTTCCACCCCCCTCCCCTCCCCCCCAAAAAATGGTTTAGTGTATTGGTATGTACTGCATGACTTAAACCCGTGTATTAAAACTCATTAAGACCAACCATTAATACTTTGGTTTAACCCCGCACTAAGCACATCTCCCTAACGTATATACGAGTTGTAATACCTCACTTCCCTCTTCTCTCGCTGTTATCTCTATTTCCTCCTCCTCCTCCTCCTCCTCCTCCTCCTCCTCCTCCTCCTCACCGTCCTTGGCTGGAACAAAGGAAGAAATACTAGTAATGGATAACAAGCGTTGATAATGACCATAAAGTGCTAAGGCAACAAGTATCCACATCCACACGTACTTGTTCCTCTCCTCAAGCTGACACACCTGAGATAATTAAGATCCCGGACAGGTGTTATGGCACAGGTATACCTCGTCACACCTGTCCAAATGTTTAGTCTGGATGCAGTTGTTAATGTGGATACTGGAAGTAATTTACTCTCTCTCTCTCTCTCTCTCTCTCTCTCTCTCTCTCTCTCTCTTTTGCATCTTGGTCTGGGTTCAAATTAATAAATAAAATATACTTATAATATTTTCTTATCATGGTTTTGGATTATTATTATTTATTATTATTATTATTATTATTATTATTATTATTATTATTATTATTTGTATAGTAATATGAGATTGTTTACATATGAATCAATAATATATTTTCTAAGATAAATGTAAATACTTCCTTATCAATCTATCCACCCCTTCCACCAACAGATGAATTAATAACTATCCACTATCTATCCACTATCTATCCACTAATATGAATTAATAACTACCCACCGCCCACAGGTTACGCCCGCAACATTCGCCAGTTACCGTGTGTGTCTAAGCGAGGTGGGGCGGGCGTCTGTATGTTCGCCTGGGACTGCATGAAGGCGAATGGAACCCACTTGGACACTTGCATGGACAGGTACAGTTTACTATGTCTATTTTGATGAGGTAGTTCTAGTTTTGTTCTTCGTGTTCTTCTTGTTCTAGTTTTGTTCTTCGTGTTCTTCTTCTAGTTTTGTCTCTATTATTATTATTATTATTATTATTATTATTATTATTATTATTATTATTAGACACCATTCTCATCATCATCATCATTATCATACCAGCTAATCAAGTCATCTTAAATCCCATCCTGGTGAAGCTGTACAGGTAAGTGTTCTCGTTCTTACCTGTTAATTACCTGACGATGTTATCACCTGTTGTAGTTCTTTAATGAGTCCCGTTACTGACACACTTCTTCTGACGCCACCAAGTCCTGTCTGTCTGTCTGTCTGTCTGTCTCTTCTCAACAACACACATGCTCTCTCTCTCTCTCTCTCTCTCTCTCTCTCTCTCTCTCTCTCTCTCTCTCTCTCTCTCTCTCTCTCTCTCTCTCTCTCTCTCTCTCTCTCTCTCTCTCTCTCTCTCTCTCTCTCTCTCTCTCTCTCTCTCTCTCTCTCTCTCTCTCTCTCTCTCTCTCTCTCAGTATCACTCACTCACTCTCTCTCTCTCTCTCTCCGTTAGCTTTTACTTCGGATCCTGCTGTAGGCTGCCAGGGGCTCGACCTCCCGTCTCTGAGGTCACCAACGAGATCGTCCCCATGATCCCAGGATTCGTCCCTACGTCATCACCCCCAGGAAGTGACGTCACGGGAGGCCATACGTCATCATCTCCAGGAAGTGACGTCACGGGAGGCCATACGTCATCATCTCCAGGAAGTGACGTCACGGGAGGCCATACGTCATCATCTCCAGGAAGTGACGTCACGGGAGCCCATACGCCATCATCTCCAGGAAGTGGAGGTTCTGCCACGTCGGGTGATGGTTCTGCCACGTCGGGTGATGGTTCTGCCACGTCGGGTGATGGTTCTGCCACGTCGGGTGATGGTTCTGCCACGTCGGGTGATGGTTCCACTCCTGAACTAAGTCCTGACACTGGTTCTACCACTGCAGTCCGCCCTGATGTCGGTTCTACAACTGACGATGAAATGGTTACTCCAGGCGAAGGTTCTATTGTACCAGGCGAAGGTTCTATTATACCAGACGAAGTTTCTATTTTACCAGACGAAGGTTCTATTATACCAGGCGACGGTTCTATTGTACCAGACGAAGGTTCTATTGTACCAGACGAAGGTTCTATTGTACCAGACGAAGGTTCTATTGTACCAGACGAAGGTTCTATTGTACCAGATGAAGGTTCTATTATACCAGGCGACGGTTCTATTGTACCAGGCGAAGGTTCTATTGTACCAGGCGAAGGTTCTATTGTGCCAGACGAAGGTTCTATTGTACCAGATGAAGGTTCTATTATACCAGGCGAAGGTTCTATTGTACCAGGCGAAGGTTCTATTGTACCAGGCGAAGGTTCTATTATACCAGGCGAAGGTTCTGTTGTACCAGACGAAGGTTCTATTATACCAGCCGAAGGTTCTGTTGTACCAGACGAAGGTTCTATTATACCAGACGAAGGTTCTATTATACCAGGCGAAGGTTCTATTGTACCAGGCGAAGGTTCTATTATACCAGGCGAAGGTTCTATTATACCAGGCGAAGGTTCTATTGTACCAGGCGAAGGTTCTATTGTACCAGGCGAAGGTTCTATTGTACCAGGCGAAGGTTCTATCACCCATGACGGAAGTTCTATGATGGGCAGCACCCCAGAAGACGGGGCCATCATAGGAGACATAACAGTCTCTACTGACGAAGGTGCTATGATTGGAACTCAACCAGAGGAAGGTTCTGTCGTCGGTGTGGGTGTCCCAGGTGAGGGTTCTGTCACTCCCGGCGAAGAAGGTTCAATCACCCCAGAGGAAGGCAGCACCAGTGAGGTCAGTCTTGGTGCTGCAGCAGGAGGTTCTATAGATGGGATGGATTCGTCGATGACAGACACCTCGACAGGAGAGGGAACATTCGACGGCATGGGCTCGACGGATGGTGCTCCAGGATCTGTTATTGGGGGGACGGTCGAGGGAAGTCCACCTGCCGTCATGGGACAGACTGGAGACGAAACTACTGTCGAACTGGGTCCCGTCGACGGTCAGACTGGAGGGCAGACCGGGGGCGAACAGTCAGCCAACGATGGACTGGAATCAAGCAGCCACCAGTCAACGGCCGACGACCAGACGACAGAGGAGGCGCCATCCACGACTCTCTTTCCGATTTCTACTGAGGAAACTCCTGCTGCTACACCGTCGTCGGTACCTGGAGGCGGAGACGTTCCTACTGACGGAGAGGGACCTTCAGGAGACGATGGACAGACAACAGACACAACGCTCTCGCCTTCAGGCACTACAGACGAAGGAGAGAGTCAGACCCCAAGACCTGGTGACGCAGACCAAGGGGAGACAGATGGAGGGGATGCCCCGTCTACTGCGACAGAAGTGAGCGTCGCTGTCGACCCCGAGCCCTCACACACCGAGGTCACGGCTCCCGGGATCACTGTAGGGGATGATACAATGACCACCGACGATGCAGGAAGCACCACTGGGGCTCCTACAGCAGAAGAAACACCTGAAGGAGGAGTCACTCTTCCGGATTCTAAGCCAACTCTCCCAGACATCGATGCTGCGACACCGATCAGTCCACCTGCGACAGAGTCCACCATGTTACAGGAGGCCACAGACGCCCCTACGACACTGTTTCCTGTAGAAGTCGTAGATGTTTCCTTCACAGAGACAGAAACCACGTCAGAATCTTTAGCAGTAGAAGACGTCACGACATTGTCACCCGGAGTTAGTGGGTCACACACGACTAGTCCTTCAACCACTGACGCAGCCATCACAGTCACCGCCACCACCAGTCCCGACACTAAACCGCCAGGCGAAACAACATTCGTGCCAGTGTTCGCCGCAGCCACAGTACGTCCTGGTAAACCCGACGGCGACGCTGACGATGACACGACGGAGTTAACACCAGTAACCACTTTCCCATCCCTACACGTCAGCCCGACAGAAGAAACAGAAATCCCCGCCACCACAATCATCTCTCCCTTCCTACCCAGCAAACCAATCATCTCCGTCCTCCCAGCCTCCACGACCCTCCAGTCCAACACGACAACAACACCTCCTCCTGCCCCGACGACCAGCCACCCATTAGAGCAAAGACCTATCATCTTCCCTGGAGGAGGAGAGGGCATAACGAAGAAACCTGCCGCGACTGAAGAACTCGACCAAACCGCTACAACACTACGACCTGGTGTAGAAACCGTCGATATATCCCAGAGACCCGATGAGCTAGAGACCACGATCAAACCCGTAGAAGTGACTGAAACCACTTTGAGACCCATTACTGTTGATGCCACTGACTCAACGGAGGAACCTGTTAGTGCTGAGACAACGTTAAGCCCGATCGTCACAACAGAACAAGAACCTGACACTGCAACGAAGAAACCCACAACAACGGAAACAACAGAGAAACCCACGACAACGGAAACAACAGTAAAACCCACGATAACGGAAGCAGAAGAAACCACAACAACAGAAGCTGAAGAACCTACGACAACAGAAACAACAGAGATACCCACGACAACGGTAACGCAGAAATCCACGACAACGGAAACAACAGTTAAACTTACTACATCAACAGAGACCCCAACAGAAGCAGCAACGACTACAACAGAAGACTTAGAGACGACAACAGAAGACTTAGAGACGACAACAGAAGGCACCGTTGAAAGTGAACTACTAGAGCGACTTAATTCCTCCAGTTACAAAGACAGTAAGTAGAAGGATTTTATTCCTGTTAACGGGGTTTTATTCCTGTTAACGGGTTTTTATTCCTGTTAACGGGTTTTTATTCCTGTTAACGGGTTTTTATTCCAGTTAACGGGGTTTTATTCCTGTTAATGGGTTTTTATTCCTGTTAACGGGTTTTTATTTTTTTTAGGATAGACTTTAATTTACACTTAATTTACACTTTAGCTATACAGGACTATATTCGATTTACATAATTTACACTTATTTACACATAACATATTGATTTACATTTGATTTACATTAATTTACACTAATTTACACATAACTTATATTGATTTACATTTGATTTACATTAATTTACACTAATTTACACATAACTTGTATTGATTTACATTTGATTTACAGTCTGTGGCGTTCCCGTCTACCCCACACGGAGGATTGTCGGAGGAAGTGAAGCAACATTTGGCGAATGGCCCTGGCAGGTGAGGCTTGGTCTAAAATGGTCTAAAAGGCTATAATTTTGTCGGAAATTTGTCGAAATGTCTTTAATTTTGTCGGAAATTTGTCGAAGTGTCTTTAATTTTGTCGGAAATTTGTCGAAGTGTCTCTACTTTTGTCGGAAATTAGTCTCAAAGCCTATATATTTTAGTTCAATATTTTCCGAGTAGTTTTCAATCTTGTTAATAGCTTCAAAATAAAATTGAATTATGTCTAAAGTGTCTAAATAATGTCTAAAATACTTTGAAAGTCGACAGCCTATTATCGTCATCTGTTAGTTATTATTATATATTTTCTTATTTCATGCTGCTAAGAGTGTCTAGGGTGAGTGAAATAAGGAAAACAAAAAATCAGGAAATAAGTTTTAATTTGTGATATATTTCTCCTTAATTTGTGAACTAATATATATATATATATTATTTTGTTCTTCCAAGTTGTAATGGAATAATTTGAAAGGAATTTTTAAGTATATGTGACACAGTTTTGCTCTCTCTCTCTCTCTCTCTCTCTCTCTCTCTCTCTCTCACTCATGACCGCCACTAACAGTTGTCGCCGTCTTACAGGTGTCATTAAGACAATGGAGACAGGTAACCTTCCTTCACAAGTGCGGGGCGGCGCTGCTGAACGAGAACTGGGCCATTACTGCTGCTCATTGTGTCGAGAAGTGAGGCTTTTAAATCCTTCTACATTTAATGAAACATATCAGTCGTATCCTTCTAAGACCATTTTATGTTACATTATAAATTACTGTTTCCTATAAGATCATTTTCTGTTATATATTTGAGTTACTGTTCCTCATAAAATTGTTTTTTTTTTATTTTTTAGTTACTGCTCCTCGTAAAACCGTTTTCCTTAATATATTTGAGTTAGTGTTCCCATAAAACTATTTTCTTTGATATATTTGAGTTAGTCATCTCATAAGACCGTTTTCTTTGATATACTTGAGTTATAATTTACGTTTTCTGTTACACCAATACCCTCAGAGGCTCACTAACACACTTTTACCTCCCCCTCCACCCACTCACAGTGTACAGCCGGAGCAACTGTTGTTAAGACTTGGAGAATTTGACCTTGAGAGAGCAGATGAACCTTATCCCTTCGCCGAGAGAAAGGTTCAGATTATTGCTACTCACCCGAAGTTCGATGCCAGAACCTTCGAGTACGACCTAGCTCTACTAAGGTGAAGTGGTAATGGTGGTGTCTTGAAGTGAGATAGATAGATAGATAGTTAGTGTGGTATAAAAAATAATAATAATAGAGACACAGACGAAAACAGACAGACATAGACACAGACACTAATGAACCACGAGAGAGAGAGAGAGAGAGAGAGAGAGACTAACCATCAACTGCTGTACACTTCAGGTTCTACGAGCCGGTGACCTTCCAACCAAACATCATCCCAGTGTGTGTACCTCAGGACGACTACTCCTTCCTCAACAACACCGGCTACGTCACGGGCTGGGGACGACTATATGAAGGTAAAGAGGTCGTGAACAAGTCATTGAGAGGCCATGAGGGATTGTGGGAGGTCTGTGAGGGATTATGGGAGGTGGGATGTCATATGAGGAGTCATTATGGGATCGTGACGGATTGTTAGAAGTCATTGATAGGTTATTAGGGATTTGGGGAGGCCATTGAGGGGTCGTCGGGGGTTGTGTATGGGCATTGAGAGGTCACGAGGGATAATTGGAGACTTAGAGATTTTTAGGAGGGAGATGGAAGTGTCTGGGAGGGATTTGGAGGACGTGGGATGGTCTTTGGAGGGAGATGAAGGGTCTTGAACGTTTATACATGTTGTTATGTGTTAATATATGTACTGCGTGAAGCTTGAGCCTTGTTCTTAGTTGAGATATAAAAATAAAAATTAATTCAGAAACTACTGATATTTACGAGAGAAAAAACAAAACATGGCAACTCAGACCTTTTCACCGAGTCGTAAAGTTACCGATTCACATTTTATTTTTTATTTTTTATGGATATTTTATTAATCCTTTCATCAATAAATAAAATAAATTATATCATGTTAACGTCAACCTTCAGATTAATATTTTTTAAGCTTTAATAAACTTGTAATAAAAATCACTTCCTTAAAATTTACTTGAAATTTTTTTAACTCAAATTAAAAACTCTGGTTCAGCGTTTCATCCACAATAGAGTAAAATTATAACATATATATATATTTTTGTTTATGTTATAATATAGAGCATTAAATCACAACCTATAGTCATGTGTGTGTGTGTGTATATTGAATTTATATAACCTGTATATAGTGTTTGTGTTATAGAAAGCCGTGTTACGTTGTCTTAATCATGTTCTTACGTAACACAGTCAGGTATTGGACAAGATCACACCAATTTAATCGGACTTAATAGTCTAGCAGATTTTGTCCAATAGAATTTTATCAAGTGGAATTTTGCCCAGTGGAATTTTATCCTGTGAAATTTTGTCCAGTGGAATTTTGTCCAGTAGAATTTTGTCCAATGTTTGCCAATATATTAAGGGGCCTAAGCACCTTACACACCTTCAGTAGCATGCACAGTAAGTTAACTAACACCACTAAAAACTCATTATTTAAGACTCTTCAATGTTTATTCTTATATCTCTTAATGTTTACTTAGTATCTCTATTTAATTATTATCTTGGCATGTCTAAACTTTCTATCCTTGCTTTTTTTTTATTTGCTTATTTTCTTGTTTTCTTAAAAGAGGAAACGCAGCTTCATAACTTAATAATGAACGCCAGGCGATGTTGTTTGCTCGTGTTGGCACTTGAGTTTAATCCTAACTTCCCTGTCTTGTTTACCCAGCCTGGAGTGAAGGTTGAGAGGGGAGGAAGGATTGTTTGAAGTATTGTCTGCATGAGAAGTGAGGTTGTTTACATGGCTGGGTATTGTTTGCGTGTTGTGGGACTGAGACCTTTGGTTTAGTTTTAGCGTTTATCTTTTTGTACCTTTGTCATTCTATCTGTCACCTTTGTATACCTGTGTGGGTCTATATGCCTCTGTACATCTGTCACCTGTGAATACCTATGTACATCTATCACCTGTGTACATGTCACCTGTGTACACCTGTCACTTGTGAATACCTGTGTACATCTGTTACCTGTGTACATCTGTCACCTGTGAATATGTGTCACCTGTGTATACCTGTGTACCTTCGCTCACCTGCCCTACACCTGACTGAGACGAAAGACTCTCACAAACGACACCTCCATACACCTGGACGGTATCAGTAAACAGCGTGGTCTGAATAACACACGTCGACAGTGATATGTAAACAAAAGCTATATAAAAAGCTTAAATGGTGTAAATCGTGTGTAAACAAAAGCTATATAAAAAGCTTAAATGGTGTAAATCGTGTGTAAACAAAAGCTATATGATGAAGCTTAATTGGTGTAAATCGTGTGTAAACAAAAGCTATATGATGAAGCTTAATTGGTGTAAGTCAGCTTAGTTCTGACAAATAAACGTTACCGCTAATTAAGAAAAGGGAATTAAACTTACATAGCTTAAGTTATCGTGAAATAGATAACATGTACAGGTGAACTTGGTGGTCTGGGAATACCTGAAGGACACGCTCACCTGTTGTAGTAATTTAGGGACTCGAGCGTCTCTCTCTCTCTCTCTCTCTCTCTCTCTCTCTCGAGTCGTCAAGGCCATTGGGATCACCTGAAGATTAAACCCCCTACTTTATTATACCTTCAGATTAGTCAACCTTACCAAACCTAACCTTACCTTACCTTAAATATCCTAATCTAACCTTACCTTACCTTACCTTAAATATCCTAATCTAACCTTACCTTACCTTACCTTAAATATCCTAATCTAACCTTACCTTACCTTACCTTACCTTAAATATCCTAATCTAACCTAACCTTACCTTACCTTACCTTACCTTACCTTACCTTACCTAACCGCCCCAGGTAACGTAAAGGTGTTTAATCATCAGGTGAAATAAACCTGGGGGCTAATCTTCAGGTAGTCCTATAGTTATACCCTTACCTGTAGTCACCTTAGTTGCCGCCTTACCTGACCTAACTGAGTGATGTTTACCGCGTGTGAGGGAGTTTTGTCATCCTTGCCCTCCCCTCCCCTGTGTGTGAGAGAGTGTGTTTTAATAATTAAGTAACATTAATTACCAGTCTTGTGGCGTTAAAAGTGGTGGGAAAAATTAACGTACGACTCTTTAAAAATTTAGAAGAAAAATTAATGTGAGAAAACTTTAAAATCTAGTTCATCTTTTAACACCGATAAGAGAACTGATTACTTACATTCTCACTTTATCACTTAAGAGAAATATAAAACATAAGAACATATAAGAATCTGAGACTTTTTATAACTTATTTTTACTTCTATTTCACTTATAAATAATATATACTTTATCATCTTCGTTATTTGTACGTCACTGATATAAGGAAATAATATAAATTTACAATAATTGTTCTCGTTATTGTTGTTGTATATAATGTGTTGTTTGTGCACTGTATATAGTGTTGTTTGTGCACTGTATATAGTGTTGTTTATGTTTGAAAGACACGCTACTAACAATACCTAGTTAATGATTTAAGTCTAGTGATGGAGAGACAGACTGTAAAATATTGAAAGATCAAGAAAGTAACGTATCAAATGACTGTAGTGTTGAACTCTTCACTTTTCTCTATTTCAAAATCACAATAAACTTCAAAATCCTGTGCACTTACTTATACTTCTGCATCTTAGCCTAAACCACCTGATGTAGCTGTTTAGCTCGGTGTGTTGCGGTGTTTTACAAGTGACCTTCACAAGCTTTGTATCTAGTATCTAACACCACATGCATACTTTACGTCAGTGTTTCCCATGGGTAAGTCACTGTGTTAGGGTACTGAAGCAGTGTGAGTAATGACTTGTTGACAGCTTGTACGACAGGTACAGTACAGGAGACTTACTACTACTACTGCCGACTTGAACACTAACTCTCCCCACCTTCGACCCCCATCTTCCCTCACAGACGGTCCTCTGCCATCTGTGATGCAGAAGGTCCCTGTGCCCGTCATTACCAACAAGGACTGTGAGGATATGTACAGAGTAGCTGGATATGTGGAACACATTCCCAACATCTTCATATGCGCTGGCTATGAATCAGGAAGCAGAGACTCGTGTGAGGTGAGTTACCCATTAAATAGTTTCGTTTTCTCTCAACCTGTCCTGAGGTTTCACCGCAGAGAATGAAACCTCTTCACAGGGTACCTAAACTATTTTTCTTCCCACTCGATGTACTGTACGTTATGTTCCACTTTCCTCTCCTTCAAGACGGGCCCCTCCATTCAAGAATGCAGGAGGTGGAGGTGCCTGTCGTAAAAAATAAGGACTGTGAAAAGATGTTCCTGGCAAGTGGAGGCTTTGTAAGCATACCGAGGATAATGATGTGTGCGGGGTATGCTGAGGGCAGGAGGGACGCGTGTGAGGTAAGTATGGAATCCTTCTCAAACAACCGACCTTCTCTTGTTTCTATATTTAACCATTTTTTTGTGTATCTACTTTCCTTTTACTGTTATAGAAAATGGATATATATTTTAATATCCAAAATACAAAAGCTAGAAAAAGGTTTATACCCAAAGTCATAAGCTAGAAGCAGTGTACTGTGTTGTTATCCCAAGATACACAAGAAATAGATGAACCTGGTTTATTTATCCGTGTAAACATTTCATTAGTCCTTCTGTCTCTCTGTAAACAATTGATGGTTAAGGTTGAGTCATACTATCTCTTTGTAAACACACTATTACTTTACAGTATACTCTACTTATAAATGTATACCTTAATTAATTTATAGTACAACTTAGTGTCAGGGTTGCTCCTCCACCCGGGTGAATTAGGGTAAATCAACTACATGTAAACAAAAGATAACATATTCTGTTCTCTTACAAACACCTTATTATCGTGTCTCTCTCTCTCCCCAAAAACAAACATTGATCACATCTCTCTATCTCGTCCACAGGGAGACTCAGGCGGCCCTCTGGTGATAAGGAGAGACGGGGTATGGAACCTTGCTGGGGTCATCTCGTGGGGTATAGGCTGTGCCCTGCCCAACCAACCCGGCGTGTACACCAGGATATCTGAGTTCCGGGAATGGATTGAAAAGATTATTGTATTTTAAAGATTATCTAACTAATAGATATGACGCCAGTGGAAATAATTTATTGTAGTGTTTTGTTAAATATTTGTAGTATTAGCTTTTTCGGAGTAATTGATGTATATTTAATTTTATCATTAATATTTTATTGGAAAATGTGATATTGTCTCCAATTGGTTATTTAATTTATTTATTGTGATTTTTTCTATTGTATTGACTAATAGAAATAATAGTTTGGTTATTTACTTATGAGAGACTATTTTATAAGGCTTTTGTTAACTTTTATTTGTATTTAAAGACTTGTTATTTATTACCATTGATATGATATTGTCTAAAAATACGACTCATTTTATGATCAGACATTCAATAGTTTTATTTAATCTGGAAAAAATACGATTAGCTTCGAAGGCATAAGTTTAAAGTTGTTAATATTTATTCCTATATTAACTATAAAAATTACTTATTCTTTCGAGGATTAAATTAAAATGTTGTTGACTGTATGGCAGGTTTTGTTAGTAATATTATTTGACTATTTATTTGTAATACTTGTTAAGCGATCTCCTTCCCCTACAAGGTGTCAATACGGAGATTAAGGACAGTTCCCTCCTCTTATAATAGGCATTATTATTATTTGATATTTAATTCATGTTTTTGTGTGTCGTTAGTCATTGTTGTTGTTGTTGTGACAGAATGACATATATGGTGATATTTTATTGTGATGAAAATTGGTTTATTTTTAGGTAATTAATGAAAGTTTTTGTCCTTTTAGATATATTAAATTATTATTTTTTATCATTTTACAACGACATAAATATTGCCTTATATTATGATGTCAGTTTTTGTCACATTACACGACACTTGACGATATTTGTTACTCATTTGTTATCATCATCATCATAATTATCACAACACACACACACCAGTGAAAAGTGTGTGTGTGTGTGTGTGTAGAGATATAGTGACTGTACACCATTTTTCTCAGTATGACAGGTGTGTTCTGTTGTGTCGAAACATTACCGCGACCGTACTTATAGTGTTTACATGTGTACGTGATAATATCCCTCATCTCTTGCTCATCCTCCCCGCCTCGCTGCCTGTGATATCTTGTGTGTGTGTGTATGTCTGTCACACCCATATGGCCACTGTTATAAAGTTACCACGAATGTCACCGCGAACCATAATTACTTATTCAAATTAAACGATAACTAAACTTAACCTAACCTGAGGATCCTTAAGTAATTATGGTTAGGTTAAGTTAAGTTTGGATAATGTTTGAAGAATACAATTTTAATTAAATGTTTTACTCTTTATAAGTTTTGTTCGTGGTAATTATTTACTAACATTGACCGTTTTACCCCTCTTCCTCTCCTCCCACACTCAACCCCCTCCCTACCTCACCATCACCCCCTACCCTTCCCCACTACCTCACCATCACCCCCTACCCCTCCCCACCACCTCACCATCACCCCCTACCCCTCCCACCACCTCCACCATCCCCCTACCCTCCCATCACCCCCCCTCACTATCACCTCCTACCCCTCACCATCACCTCCTACCCCTCACCATCACCTCCTACCCCTCACCATCACTCCCTACCCCTCACCATCACCCCCTACCCCTCACTATCACCCCCTACCCCTCACTATCACCCCCTATAATTCTCCCATGGGCAAAGGGTATTTATATTATTTATCAGGTAATTCTACTCTTCTCCTTATATATAACCTCCCATATATATTATTATTATTATTATTATTATTATTATTATTATTATTATTACTACTATTATTATTATTATTATTATTATTACTATTATTACTATTATTATTATTATTATTATTATTATTATTATTATTATTGATATTTTGTAATTTATTGTAGATTACTCTTTAGATAGTTTTTAGTGAATTATTTATATGGTGATATCTGTGTGGTGTCAGAGAGATTGTACAGTGAATTAAATGTAATATTTGCCGCTGTTGTGTTTTTAATGAGTATGGTGCCTTGTGTTGTTGTGTAACCCTTATTGAGTATGGTGACCTAACCCCAGTATGGTGACCTAACCCCTTGAGTATGACCTAACCCCTTGAGTATATTGACCTAACCCCTTGAGTATGATGACCTAACCCCATATGGTGACTAACGCAGGTATGATGACCCCTTAGTATTGACCTAACCTCTTGAGTATTATGACCTAACCCCTTGAGTATGGTGACCTAACCCCTTGAGTTTGGTGACCTAACCCCTTGAGTATGGTGACCTAACCCCTTGAGTATGGTGCTAATTACTCGCCAACTATGGTTTTCCAGGGTAATTTTTAGGGTTATTTTTGTGTTATTCTGTAAATACAAATATGACGTGAATATGAAGTGTAATGTCATCGAGTGTATCATAGGCGGGCGTCTCCAAATTACTTGTCCCGTATCAGGTCAATGAGAAACAGAAAAAATATATATATATACTTTATTTTCGACAACTGTTGTGACGCAATCTAAGAGAGAGAGAGAGAGAGATTATACTAGTAGTCTTGCAACACATGGAAAAAAATTTAGTGCTTATAAATGACGTAACATCCTGACTTAGGTGACAAGGGGAGTGTAGATTCTGCTTAACCCACCCCATAAGACCTACAGTATTATTTATTTACTTTTATTTATATGAATGAATATGAATGATAGTTTTAATATGTTATGTTTGAGTCGTTTGTTTACTATATAAAAGACAAAATGAAATAGTTCACTGGACTTATGTGGTGTTTTTATTAATACCAGTTATCTACAGTAGTATCCTGTCAAATGGTGCCAGGTGTTACTTAATGTACCGTTTAGTGATGTTTATCTTGTCATATTAACATCATTGACGTATGTAGACTGATACTATATATTAAAGGAGTTATTCGTATATAATAGAACACTCGACCATCATTTCTTTAGTATGGTTAAAGCTTAGAAATGAAATGACTCCAATTACTGTAGTCACTCCTTCCTATACACCCACACCTGAATATCCTGATTAAGAAATGACAGGTTTGTATTTCTTGGTTTGATGGCACTGGTATATATATATGTGTGTGTTGATATATTTTGTAATTCTTAATGTAAGTTTATATAGAAGAAACTAGTAAATTGTGGTGATTTCTTTTTGAGGGCGCCTGCCGCTCCTCAGGTGTTCCAATATTAGCCACGAACATGTATTTTTTTTCTTTTAAACAAATAACCTGAATCCAATCTGATTTAACGGGACGTAGCATAGCGATTAAATAACAGTTTTAATTAGGGTTTATTTCATCCAGTTAGTTAATTTTATTTGATGAATATATGGTATCCCCAGTAATGTTCGTGGTTATTATTTAAGACTAGCTACATTAAGCCCCAAATGTCGGCTCTCCTGAAATACAAAAAATGACTAAAGAAATTAAAGCAAAAGGCTGAGTCATAATTAACCTCACTATTCTTGTTTTTCGGTTATATTTCATCTTTCATTTATGTGCTAAAGTTTTATAATAAATTACAATATTCTCGTAGTAGAATTATGAAGATATAATATAATCTAAGACATAGATAAACTACTTACCATATGTATTGCTTGTTATATATTTCTCTACATTTACTCAATAAAACTTTAAAATCTTATCATAAAAACCTAAATTATATCATCAAATAAGAGTTATAACTACAAAATATTTATAATAATAGGTTAAATGTTGTTTTTTATAATAATTTAGTATCTTGAGTTAGTTTTCGTTGTTCAGGAGTGTCTCAATGTTTACTCAGTGCGTAGGTGTGGTGAAGCCTTCTGCCTGATGGTGAGTTTATTGTATATTTTGGCTTTATTAACGTCATGGGATGTTTTATGAAGTAACTGGGAGACTCTATGATCTTTAGAGATGAGATATGATAGTAAAAATATGAGAGAAAGGTCGCCATTATAGAGTGAAGGGTGATATTAGGTGGTGGGTTATAAGTGGGTGGGGGTGTTTTAAGGGGGGCTATTTATAGTATAGAGACTGTTAATCTGGGTGTGTTAGAGCTGTTTTATCTCGTTAAGGTAAGATAAAATAAGTAAGAGTATCTACCTAGTGAGTTTGAAGTACTAGGTGGTAGAGGTGAGTCTTATACCTGCTCTACACACCTGTCTTAACACCTGCTCTATCTCATACCTGCTCTACACACCTGTCTTAACACCTGCTCTCTGTACTAATAATTATCTTTTAATAAGGTGTAAACTAATTATATAAGTTGTGGTATTGAAGGATTTGTTTAGTAATGTTTTAATTTCTCCTTTGAAATTTACACTTTTAATGTTTCTTGATAAAAGTTGTTCTGGTAACTTTATTGTAGTCTTTTTGATATTGTTGGATAATTTTTAAAGAATATTTTGGGTAATCCAGAACATTTTGTTTGATTTACTACTTCATTTTGTCCACAGATGTTCTTTGGATGATAGTAATAAAAATGATACGATAATCCACAGAACCTAACCAACCAAAGACACCTACTGGTAAAATTATTGTTTCAGTCATCCCTATGTTTTTCCGGCAGTTTTTGACGTGTTTGAATTATTTTGATCTTACCTAACCTAACCTAACCACAGAACCCAGGAACTATATCTTACCTAACCTAACCTAACCACAGAACCCAGGAACTATATCTAACCTAACCTAAATTCCTAAGATGACTGAAGCGTTAATAATACCAGCCTACCTAACCTTATCTTCTTCCTAGCTGGGAGTGGTGCAGACCCCCTCCCATATTAAACAGAAAGTACTGTACTGTATTTACTTGATATTTGGTACCAATGAAAGCAACTTTCTTGAAGCAGCATGGTGTACCGGTAATTTAAATTTTTTTTTGGACGTGAGAGTTCGCTCAGAGTGAACGACCCGCTCGGTCTGTACGTAAGCAAACAAAGAGCAGACGACAACGCACGCTGATAATGGCAGATATTTTGGAGGAATGTGTAGAGTAAATAATGAATTTTTCGTGTCATATGATCAGTTTTTCACCGTTCTTTTCCCTACACTTTGCCTCGTCCTTCATGACCTGCCATCTATAGGTGATTTATGATTGTAAATGGAGAGAAACTGTAAAGTAAAATTTAAAAGATACTTATAATTAGAATAAAAAATTGCCGTATCATTTTTATTACTTTTTATCATCCAAAGAACATCTGTGGAAAACTGAACGAAATCAAACTGCTCCTGGTGTTAGCCATCTGCTGCAGTATTACCAGATTTTCTTTTCATAAGCAACAAGCATCATCTTGAGCTGTTCAAAAGCAAAAGTTTCCCTGACCTGTCACTAGATGGCAGTACAGGTCTCTTGCCCGAGGTCAGCGTCGTCTTTTGTGAAGTTGTAAAAATGTATTGTCAGTCAGAGTGAGGATTTTGTACTTTATACAATATGTTTGGTTGATTTAATATTTTGTTAGAACTGCATAGATGTGGTCCCACTTGTGGTTATAATGACCGTCTACTCTACAACATTTTTATTCCAGTTTTATTATATGTTTTCTTTATTTTGTACAGTACATTATTATGTATTTAAACCATAATAATTAACTTCATTAAATATTTCATTATCATCAATTACAGTACTGTAATTTTACTGTTAGAAGGACATAATAGTACTGTAGTAAAGTGGCTCTAGGGTCACTGTTTAAGTTTATATGCACATTTTTTTTTTTTTTTTGTAAGTGATTTTGTATTACAGTGTTGTATGTTATGTATAAGTACAGTATTTAAACATTTTCTGGAACACAGTCGTCACATGCTCTGAGGATCTCCTGTACCGTACAGTGGTTCTGACCTAACTCCCTTCAGAGATTGTCAAGCATAATTAAATATCATTATTTCATTCTCTAATAATAGTGTAGGAAGGGATCAGTACAATAGGTGATTTTATGTACATTTGACAGTGTTATTGTGACACCTGTTGTGGGATACCTCTGTCTTATCACCTGTGTAGGATATATAGGCATAATACTATTCACTATCTTCAGTTATTCCTAAGTACCTTTAATTAATTATATAATATTGGTGAAGGAAAGGTTTAATCTTATCAAGTACAGGTGTAGCGGTACTGTCACACCTGTTGAGGAAGTTAGCTACCTGTATTGTCACTGTGGAGGTTTGTTGTGTGGTTGTGTCCGGGATAGTTGATGTTGTGGTCACCTCACATACTTGACCAATATACACAGTGTGATGGAGTAGAGGATCAGGGTTGTTGCCCCCTTAGTTATTGAGATATTCTTGACAGGATCTTCTTCTTTCATGAGTTCGTTTTCATAATTCAAAATGTTGATTAATTTTGAATATTTTAATGTTTTTTTTTAATCCTGTGGTAATAAATCAGGATTAATTTGGTTTGTGTCTTATATTATAACTAGTTATTTTGTACACAGGCTGTGACATATGTATCTGTTACCATATCCTCTTTACCCATGATTTGTTTCACCTGGACAGCTGCAGTGAACCATGGATGATATCTTCCATTGGTGCCGTGAAGGGAACACCGTGCAGGTGCGACTATGGCTGGACGACACAGAACATGACATGAACCAGGGGTAAGGATGAAATACCTATATGGCTACCCGTTACTTCCTATATCCTTTTGTGAGATTTCAGCCCAGACCAGGTATTTCATCATCAATCACCACAGACCAGGTATTTCATCGTCAATCGCCACAGACCAGGTATTTCATCGTCAATCGCCACAGACCAGGTATTTCATCATCAATCACCACAGACCAGGTATTTCATCGTCAATCACCACAGACCAGGTATTTCATCGTCAATCACCACAGACCAGGTATTTCATCGTCAATCACCACAGACCAGGTATTTCATCGTCAATCACCACAGACCAGGTATTTCATCGTCAATCACCACAGACCAGGTATTTCATCGTCAATCACCACAATATCAAATGTTAAAATGCGAGGTGCAATCCAAAAGTTCCCAGACTGGCTTCATAAAATCTTTATTTTTCAACATATTACAGTGAAACTTTAGTCACCCTCAAAATATTCTTCAGAGGCCTCAATGCAGCGCTGAATCTGCTCTTCCCACTTCTGGAAGCAGATCTGGAAGTCCTTGTTGGTGAGGCTGAAGAACACCTTCTGTGATTTTTCCTGGATCTCCATTCTGTCCATGATCTTCCCCTTGAGGTTCAACTTGAACTTCAGAAACAGCCAGAACTCACAGGGGGCTGATCTGGAGAGTACGGAGGGTGTGGGACCACTAGGATGCTGTGGTTCACCAGAAAATCATTCACAGAGAGGACAGTGTGTGCAGGTGCATTGTCCTGGTGAAGCGGCCAATTGCCGGTCGTCAGTCAGAATCCGGTTAACTTTCCATATGAGAAGTCCAACCGCTCGTGGATGGTCACCCTACGATCTCCATTTACAAGCTGGTCATTTTTCTGGGCATTTTCATCATGTCTCTCAGTGGAAGGCCACCCAGAACGATGCGCATTTTCAAAAGAGGTGCACCCTTCTTTGAAGCTCTTGTGTCACCTGAAAACCTGAGCCCTGGCCATTGCTCCATCTTTGTAGGCTTCCTTGATTATTTTGTGGGTTTCTGCACCATTTTTTCCGAGTCTGAAGCAAATTCTGATGCTGCAGCATTGCTTGATACTTCCCTCCATGTTGAGGGTAGAGTGGCGACTGACTCAGCAGATGGGCCAGTATACACACTCACACAAAGCTGCACTACGGCCAGTTGGCACCACAGATTCCCACCAAATCGACGCAGTAAACAACTTACACCCAAGGTGAGTAACTGATGATGATTCAGATTCGATATCTGCTAAGATAAAGGTTTTATGAAGCCAGTCCGGGAACTTTTGGATCGCACCTTGTATACATGAACCTCATCTAGGCTAACCTAACCAAACTATCAGCTACCATGACCTAACTTACCATAACCTGCCATGGCCTAACTTAACCTACAATGACCTGACCTAACCATGACCTAACATAACCATAATCTAACTACCTGTATAACCCATAAATTCAGAGTAGACAGCTTTTACATAACACAAAGAATTACAGAACTACTATGCCATAAATTCTGTTCACAGCGACGACCATGGCTTCTCGTTACTCCACTGGGCTGCCAAGGAAGGACATGTGGGGATTGTGGAGATGCTGGTCACTCGGGGCGCTCGTATCAACTCCACAAACTTGGGTGACGACATCCCACTCCATCTGGCCGCAGCTCATGGACACCGCGATGTTACCAGTCTCGTAAGTACACTAGAACAGACAACCAGCCGATGGATGTAAATAAATGTCAATAATCTTTTGGTCATATTTTCATAACATCACCCAGTTCATTTTATTATATCTATGTATTTAAAGTATGTTATCATCAAGCAACAATTATTTCTTCCTGTTACAGCTCCTTCGACATAAAGCAGACGTCAACTTCATCAACGAGCACGGCAACACCCCTCTCCACTACGCATGTTTCTGGGCCTACTCGCTGATCGCCGAGGACCTGGTGCAGGCCGGGGCTTCAGTCTCCATCGCCAATAAGTATGGTGAAGTTCCTCTAGACAAGTGCAGGGGCGTCATGGCCAAGAAGCTTCACAGTAAGTCCTCTATATGATGGCTGGTTAATGTCTTTTTGAGTCATGTACTAGCAAACAGACCACCTGAAGATGAACCACCCTAATGGTACCTTTGGGTTAGGTTGTGGTAGGTTAGGTTAATTTAGGTTAGAATGATTAATCCATTTTCAAGGTCACTTTTTTGTGTTTATGTGTTATTCGTGATGTACATAAGTTAGTTAGTTCGACACATTAAATTTCAGTTCTGAGAGAGAAAGTGTTCGGAGCCTAAAATCCTCACAAGGCTTACCATTTCGGCCATAATCTTGATCTCTCCGATTTTATTCAGAATCTCAATATATGTACACCTGGACATGCTGAGTAAGGATCTGTTGCCCACAATTTGATATCTCTATAATTACTAGTCCAGATGACATCCCAAAAAATTTTATTATTTTTCTAATGCTAATTACTCGCTGCCAACCGTTTTTATTTAATCTTAAGATAGCTAATCCTATTAAACTTAGTGATACATTATTGCTTTTAACTCTTATATCGGTAAAGTTAGCCTTTATTGGTTACCTAACAGAGTAATCCAGCACCGTACATCACTAAGCTCGTGTTAGGGGATTAACTTCATCATAAATCCTGGCCTCAGTAATCCTTTGATAGTGGATTACTTCTGAGTCTTATAGCAGTCTTGAGTTTCACAAAGTTTAAGCCACAAAATAGTGTAGCTTTGATAAGTTGATTATAGAAGGAGATAGATAGTGTAGATAGACGTCTATTAATGAGAAAGGTAGATAGTGTAGATAGACGTCTATTAATGAGGAAGGTAGATAGTGTAAATAGACGTCTATTAATGAGGAAGGTAGATAGCATAGATGTGTATTGACGAGGAAAGGAAGATTAGAGACAGACTGTAAACCATAAGTTATTTTGACCAAGGATGTCCAACAGATGCATCAAAGGTTTGTATCATAAGTATTGTTGCAACTACTGGACAGATTTAATTGGGGCTCCTGTACATTTTTAAGTTATTATCTAATGCATTTTTATCTCCAGTTATCCATTTCAGCAGTCAGCCATTGTCACTATTATTTTTACGTAATGATGAGTGATAGTTCGGGTGGGTGATTCTGGGTTGAGTGTGAAGGTATGTGGTGAAATAAGTTTGATAATTAGAGTGTAGTGTATATTGTTGGTGTGTTTGCTCTTGAGTGTTGTTTGTAAATGGATCCCAGGTTTAGGAATAACATACAGTAGAAGTAAAATATATATTCTCGTGTTATGACAATTTGAGGAAGATTTTGTGATTGTAAGTTTTGAAAAAGATCTTAACTCGTCACTTTTGTTTCCGTACAGCCATGGCAGTTGACAGTGGCCAGAATCTGGAGAAAGTGGCCTTCAAGGATCAGAGTTGGCTGGGCTTCAAGACTCGCAGTCGTAAGTGTTGAGTTTTTTTTTTTTTTTTTTTTAAGCCACTGGGAAGCGGGTTAGTCTTCGGTTCAGAATTAAGAAAGTATTGATCTTCGAACTAATAAATATTTCCTGTGGCAGGTGATGCGACATTGTCCCGACACAAGGGCATCAACATTAATGAACTGGCACTGCACACAAAAATTGCTGTGAGTCCTTCTGGAGAACTGTGGCGAGGCAAGTGGCAAGGGAATGAAATAATCGCCAAGATCTTAGCTCTGAGGGAGTGCTCGGCTCGCATCTGCCGGGACTTCAACGAGGAGTTTCCACGCCTGAGGTATGTTGGGAGACCTGTTCATATTATTGTCTCTTGCTGTTCTTTCAGAAGTAGCAGGCATCTATATGTTTGTATGTCACTGCTTCAAACATTGTGAATATTATAAGTCAAATGGCTATGTTGGATTTGTAAGTGACGTCCACACAAATTATATCATAATGCAAAGTCTTGGTGAACACAACTTCTGATGCTTGTCATGTAGAGTTATCACAATAACTCGGACTGTTTTGATAATCTTTAATTCATTATTATCTGTCTTTTTGTCCAGTTATGGCTCCATAGACTTTACTGGGGTGGAAGACTTGGCCACCCTCACTGGCCAACACTTGATGGTATTCTTTCACTTTTTCAGGATTTTCTCTCACCCAAATGTTCTTCCTGTCGTCGGGTGCTGCAACAGCCCCCCCAACCTGGTGGTCATCACACAGTACCTGCCAAATGGGTCCCTCTTCACACTCCTACACCAAGATAGTGGTATTGTGGTCGACACTGCACAGGCGCTCAAGTTTGCCCTTGACATTGCTCGTGGGATGGCCTTCATCCACTCACTGGAGAAGTTGATCCCCAACTTGTATGTTTCATCCAAACACATCATGGTGAGTTTGTCCTGTTCCAAACACATCATGAGGAGTTTCATTGTTGGTCATGTTACATTCTCCAGAAATTTGATTATGATAAAATGAGAATCATGTTTCAGGTAGTTACAGTCACGAGCCAGAGTGTGGCTAAATATATTAGTTCTCAAGGAATGTTTCATATAAGATCAGAAGGTCTCATGCTTCTAGTGTAAGGCTTTTACGTGATATATCTTGTTATCATGTGATATAGATGCTGTGATACTTGATACTTTTCAGATTGATGATGATCTAACAGCGCGTGTCAGCATGGCCGATGCCAAGTTTTCATTCCAGGAGCGAGGCAAACTCTACTCCCCACAATGGTTCTCTCCTGAAGGTGAGGCGTTGATATGATTTCTTTTATAATTAGGTGCAGACTCACACCTCTGGAACATTGGATAGCTTGGTTTTGTGTACACTAGCTCCTAAAAATATCTTTGAGGATGGGTCCGACGAATTTAAAAAAGAACACTGCGACTCCTGTTGTCTCGGTAGGGATGTCAAAATCTTTCATCATTTGTGTCATATTGTCTAGCACAAAATCATAAAGATACTTTTTGGAGCGAGTTTACCCATATGCCTTGGTGTTATCAATTAAATTCTAATGCAATTGATCGGTGTGTGACATCTGGCTTTCTGTACATGAGTTTTATACTTATTTTCCCCTTGTGCTAAATTTCTCTGTCGTCTTTGTTGATTATTGATTAGTTATCACTTTCTCACCTAAAAAAAAGAAAACATTACGTTCCTATGGTGCGTGACCTGTGCGATCCTCCGTTACTATGGTCGACCGTGCAATAGATGCATCACATTTCTTAAGTAGAATATTTGACTGACACACACCTACTCCTCAGCTCTCCAGAAGAAGCCAAAGGAACTTAACATCAAGGCAGCTGACATGTGGAGCTTCGCCGTCACGTTATGGGAGATGGCCACTCGTGAGGTGCCCTTCGCTGATCTCACCCCCATGGAGGCTGGCATGAAGGTACAGTATACAACTATTTTGTTTAAACCTGCAATTTTGTTGTTCCTTTGTGATTTAGCTGTACAGTATCGTGTTCTTTTATTTTTTCAAGTTCAATTATTTTTTTTACTTTGACAGTGTTACCCTTATGACAGTACTGTACACGTCAAGTTTGGTTTGGGGTTATTGATTTTCGTGAACGTTGTTGTTTTGTGTACTGTACATTGTATCCCAGTTCACCAGAAAGTAATTTTGACGTTACACTCAATACTGTTTATCAACTTACCAATGATCTAATGTATGTATGTACGTCTTGTATAATGTCAGATTCATTTATCTTTACTGGCATTATTTTTACTACATTTGATGATGTCAGCATAGATTTGTTTTATTGTTGTACTGTATTTCTGTGTTTTGTTTGAGCATAATTTATTGTGTGAAGGAACAGGGGGTAAGTCAGAGCTCGGGCTCTGTACCTTTCCGGCTAAATAAACTGTTTCAATATCAGATTTTGAACCTTTGTTGCGAGAGGTGCGCCATAATTGAGTTACATCTGTTTTGCAATGGTGTTCTGCCGTCACAGTAAGGCCTCAGGTTAGAAGTAGACATAGTGTACTACAAAACTAAGACACGTCAGAAAAAACAAAACAAACCAAAGTGTAGCAATGTTAAAATGAGTATTGTTTAGTAGAGCAGTAACGATGTCTCGAGCAGCTGTTTCACTTGTCATGTTCTCACCCAGAGTGCCTCATGTGTGTGTGTGTGTGTGTGTGTGAATGCAAGCCTGTGTGTGGTTTACCTCTGTTGCTTCATCACACATGCTAGCGTCAGCCATCATCACCACAACCTTCTTTCCCCATGAAATCATTGAACGCCCATGTATATATTATTAATATCTTTTCGGGTATTCTCCAGCTTATGTGCAGGTGATGCTGTGGGGTATTTGTCACATGAGATGTATTTGTAGAGAGATAAATGATAGATAAAAAGGTGTGTTCTTTTAGCAATTCGTCGAGATGGTGATTCGTAGACGGACGAGTTGGTAAACATATGTAGATAGACAAGTGTTTGATAAAGGAATAGGTAGATAATATGGAAACAACTGACTTGTGAATATTTTGAAAAGGGCTTTATGATGTGTTTGCCCTCCCCGCCACACACGTTCACTCGCTCTTACATTTTTTACTGCCATATTTTCATTTTGTTCACATGATGTAAATAATCTCATAAGAATAATACTCAGAGTCTAGTATAGGCGATGAAAAAGCTTTATATGTAAGTAATATCTAAAATCTACGACAGCCTATGTAAGAATGAGTGAATGAAGGGAGAATGTGGTTTTATTTTCTCATAAAAGGTTTCAAAGAAGGAGATAGCGATGTCTTAATGTCCAATAGAATTTTGTGTCTGTCTGTGCCTATACAGTATAGGAATCGACCGTAATTTTTACAATGAATAAGGCTTGATTTTTGCTGGTTTTGATTCATATTGTGTGAGGTTAAAGCTTAATGCTGAGATAATGTCGTCTTCTCAGATCGCGTTGGAGGGTCTCCGAGTGAGTGTCCCTCCGGGTATATCTCCTCACATCTCCAAGCTGGTACGCATCTGTATGAACGAGGACCCTGGGAAGCGGCCGTCCTTCGATATGATTCTCCCAATTCTGGAGAAGATGTGCACCCAGTGAACTGTCTCCATGAGCGAGGGTGAGGAGGAGGTGAGGCAGTTAAGACGTACCGTATGTGTGCATTGTCTTGAAGGAAATATGCCTGAAGTGTATCCATTACAACAACAGCGTGTGTCACTTTGCTGAGGAGAGATGATTTTAATGTACGGTAACTATATATGCACATTTAAATGAACTAATAGTCAATAGCTGAACAAGTTGGTGCATCGTTCGCCTAAACCAACATCTTATCACACACATTCACACATACACTTTTAATAATAAATAATATCTTGCATTTTTTTCTGTGTAACCAATAAATAAATCTTATCATATCATTGTATGCTATCATCTAAAAGTGCAATATAAGTCAGTATGTAAGTACAGTACAGTATATGGATGTTTTTATAATTGGAATTTTATCTTCAAGAGGTTATTTTCTTAGCAGGAGGAGGACAACTCACTCTAATACCATGTAAGTCGGTCTCTCCTGTGTGTTCTCCTCTGGGTCATGTACTTGCCATCACTTCTTGTCGTTAATATTTTACCTCTTGTTATATATGTTGATATTTTATTATTGTTATCAGTCATATCTTTTACACCTGTTCTTATCATCATAGAGGAACGATAATGAAAATGACGACTTTTTTATGAGTCGGCCCACAGCACCAGTCATGTGGGTGTGGTGATACATCTTACAGATATTGATGAAATATGATATCTATATTTCCTTATAACTTATCTGGATGTTTGTAAACTATTTAAGTTTTTATGACAAGTTGGTGTTTAAGTTACACTACATTAATGGGATAGACTGAAAGTTTTTGTATAATTTAAGTCAGAATGAAAATAATTTTATATGCAACAGCCAAATAATTATTGATTTAAGATGCTAAGTCAAAAAAGAAATACTTGTGTCTTGTGCAAGAAATATTAACCCTTAAACTGTGGTCATCATCAGTGGATGTATGCTGTAAGGACGATGGTCATCATCAGTGGACATATGCTGTAGGGATAGCGGCCATCAGCAGTGAATGTTTTATGTTGTTTGCGTACCATTTTAGCGCACATGAGGGTGGATTATGGAAACTTAGCCACAGTTTAAGGGTTAAGCTGTCAGGCTTATATTGTCAAAAATGTCACATGTAATTATTAGTAGACTAGGACACCCTCATACATGGAGGTGTTGAGGACTCATGACCTGTGTTTGTGCCAAGTAGTTAGCCAATGTGGAGTTAATTTTCCAATTTCTCACACGGTGCAATTGTATAATAGTGATGTAGGTTAGATATAGTTCCTCACATTATTGCATTATTAACAAAGCTTAAAAAGATCCAACAGAGGTGTAGGTTAGGGTAGATTTTATATGAAAACACAGCATGGTTCAACAATGTATGTAACCAATGAAAACAGTGACATTGTTAAAACATAGTGGAATATGTCATAAAGTATTATCATTATTATGTACAGCTTATGAATTGTGTAGTCATCTTCGAGTGCAAAAGTCAAGCAATCATATAATACAATTAGCGTTAGATTGTCTGCTTTGATATTATGGTACAGTACAGTACAGTGTAGAGTAGTCCGAGACATTTGTGCTGGTCCTCTACGTGTGTGTCCTTATGCCTTGTCTCTAGAGAGTGAATTATCTACGTATTTACTGGAAATGAATGTGTTAACATTGGGCAAAATATGGGACTGACAAAATAAGTAAATATCTGGCTTTAGTGACCGACAGTTACAGCGCCCGGGGATAGTGTCGGTGAATCAAAACGTGTAAGACATGGACTTTCTTGAGGCACGTCCCCTGTGAAAATAATTGCTCCTTTCTGCTCATGGAAATTAATAAAATGAGTCCCATTTTAAGTCTGGTGTGTAAACCATTCATTTAGTGTAGCTGTATGAGTTTGGTCATGTAGTCGCCTTACGTTATTTTTCAAATGAGAACATCACATGTTATCTATGCAACTTGTAATATAGTAGTACTTCCTCGCCTTTGATTTCTCTGTAATGTAAAGATATTTCCACACATGATACGGCAAGTAATGCAGTGTGTCCGCCTATAGCTGGATGATGGTATTACGTGGCCTCACATACCACCACAGCTCTGCCGATCATGTCTGGAATGACTGTCTTATGCGCATAGTTTTAACCTCAAACTTCATCACATTTAGTATTAGTTTCCAATATGATTATCAGTAAAAATGTATAATTAATCAACTGTATACTGGTCAGGGTTCTCCACACTCACTTTTAACAAGGCCGGCCACCTTTCAGTAGTTTTTGGCCATCGGTGCCGTGTTATATTTCAAGGCCACCAAGCTTGGGCAGCGTGTCCACAGAGTTCCTAGGCTTAGCGTGTGTGTGAGGCTGGCTGTGGAGTGATCTCTGTGTCAGTATTGTTCATGATAAATTGACCACCGTGACGGATCAGTATTATTATGAAATCTTCCTTGGATACGTCTCTCTTCCTCACAGTGTTCCCAGACCACCTCTCATGTCTCTTCCTCCTCCTCACAGTGTTCCCAGACCACCTCTCACCTAGCGTATGACTCTGTAGTGTGGACGACCCTGACTCATAGGTATTATGGTGCATTTTTTTCCCCCTAACTCTGATGCCTTATTGCATTTGCAGTGATTTATTTTCTTTCATTGCAGGTGAAAGATTTTGGTGCTAATTTTTAAGAGAATCTTTGAGGAGAAGAAAATAGTTATCTGGTAGAAAGTAAAATTGTGTAAATAATTGTATTCAAGTGAGTTATTGGAAAAAGGTTAATACCAGTGACTGTTAGTAGAATAAAGTTCAACACTATATATACTATATGTTTTTTTACGATGAAGTAGATATATCCAAATAGAATAATCACGTTTAACACATCTTAATGGTTTCTTTGACTCGTGTGAGAATGGAAACATTTCAGATATGGTTTCATTTAGCTTAAAACTTCAGTCACTTCCAGTCAGAAAATATCTAAGCTCTTTAATTTTGTACATGACAATTTTTTTTATTTTTTTTTTTTCTGACATGAATTTTCCTCTTTCTGTGAATATGAGAAAAAGAAGATAAACAAGGCATTGAAAAAATAATTCCCTAAAGGTTTCTGATATATTTTGAAGCATATAATTTTTTTCTATTTTTCTTCTTCTTAGACTTATAGGCTAAGCATAGAAGAAAGTCGTGTGGATGTGTTTTGGAAAATGAACACCCTAGTGTATAACAGATTAGGGGGCATGATTCATCGCTCTGGTTATCGTAAATTGCCTTATTGATCGACCTGGGGGGGGGGGGTACTGCGATGGGTTAGTGTCGGGTGTGTGCGTAAGTAAACAATGCCTCGTAAATGATCTCTCTAATAAATTTGTCTTCCTTTTGTGATGGATCAGTAAACGCCTCCATCAATCCGACGCGTTTGTTTGTTTTATCAAGGTGATGTCACTTCAATGCACCGACACTTATACGATGCCATCACTTAGATAATAGGCTGACATCAGGATTAAGGTGATGTTAATAAGTTGAAATCAGTTGCTAGCTGAGATCAGTAGTAAGCTGACATCACAAATAAATTGACATTACTGTATATTAACAAACTGACATCACTAATACTGTACTGACATTAATAAATTGACATTCCTAGTATTGACATCAATAATTAGCTGACCTTACTAGTACTGACACTAATAAACTGACATTACTAGTACTGACACTAATAAACTGACATTACTAGTACTGACACTAATAAACTGACATTACTAGTACTGACACTAATAAACTGACATTACTAGTACTGACATTAATAGACTGACATCACTAGTTCTGACATTAATACACTGACATCAATAGTACTGACGCTAATACTCTGACATCACTAGTACTGACAATAAGCTGACATTATTAAACTGACATCACTCATAAAGTGACATTATTAAACTGACATCACTCATAAAGTGACATTATTAAACTGACATCACTCATAAAGTGACATTATTAAACTGACATCACTCATAAAGTGACATCAGTAATACTGACATCCTTAATAAACTGTTTACCTCCAATAAACTGACATTAATTACATAAAGATAATAAACTGACATTGCTCGAGTTAACTGACATCACTAACTACCGCCTCTGTGACATAAGTTAACTGACATCACTAACTACCGCCTCTCTGACATAAGTTAACTGATATCACTAGCTACTGCTTCTGTGGCTTAAGTTAACTGACATCACTAACTACTGCTTCTGTGACTATAGTTAACTGACATCACTAACTCCTGCTTCTGTGACTTTAGTTAACTGACATCACTAACTACTGCCTCTGTGACTTCAATATCATAAAGGTTGAACATTTTAAGTAGAGATGAAAATGGTTTTGATATGTGAAGTGAAGAAAACATCAACACTAATTTGATAACTTAACACTACTCACAGTCATTGATGTCCTCGTGATGGAACAGCGATTATAACAAATAAAGTCTGAAAAAGAGTAATTAATATCATTGACAAACGTGCACATAATGGCCATGAACAATATATTGATGACCCTTGGTGAGTTGCACTTTTGTCCGATGGTGAGTTGCACTTTTGTCCGATGGTGAGTTGCACTTTTGTCCGATTTACACTTTTGTCCGATGTTTTCCCTCTCCCTTCAAAAGATGATTTAAATTATGTTAAAGAATATAATGATGTACAATATTATCCTCAAAATTTGGTGTGAAGAAACCATCGTGCGGCAGCATCGATAAAGATGGCCGCTGCCGATGACTTTGATATATCGTGTGTTGTTGGTCCACGTGGTCGTGCCTTACGTGTCTCGTCTCGTAGTCTAGGGTCCACTCTGTCCAGCACAAAAGTTAATGCTGTCCAGTTTATTTGTGACTGTGCCGGTAAATATAAGCTGTGGACGGAGCTTCTTGGTTGCATTGTGTTGCTCATATTGACAAGTACAGTACATTAATGTGAACTCCATTGTTTAGTTTAGGACTGAATAAGTAACCTTTCCTTTAGTGTTAATACAGTAGTTGATTTGCTGTAATATTTAATTTCATATGATTTTATGAATTGATACAGTATCACCCAGGTAAATGATTCATTGTGTGACTTGTGCCTGACATACTGTACAGTGACACATAAATGCATACAAAGTGCTCCGGGCAAGAGGTAGACAAGTGACAATAGTTTAAAAAGAAAAATGCCAGAAAACACAACTAAAGTTTAAGGGGAAGATTATAATAATACAGTACAGTAAACACATCCAAACCTGCAGTGTCACTTGCTTGTCTTGTTCTGACCCGGAGCAGCTCGACAGTACATAGAGTAATAATATGAGGAGTAAAACACAACATTTTGTTTGATTGATGATATATTTGTAATTTGTTTGAGATTGATTTGCTGTCATCTTAAAGTGAGAGTGACATATTGGGTGACATCTGTGTTGAGAAAAACTAGAAATAAATTTATGCTTGCTTATTTCTGCAGTATACTTGGTGAGTAAATTTTGTAGGATAATTAGCATAAAAAGTACAGTATTTTTGCTTTTGTTTTGTAATGAAGTGTTTATTAGCTTTTATGTACTGTAGTTACGTGCAAGTTCTATCACTAGGTTAACCGACAATGACCCTATTTTCTGAATCATCATGACATCTCAGCTTCAAAAGGCAGTACAGTATAAACTTTCACATGAAGTATATCAGAAAAATATTCCTATCAGAATTTTCAGCACTAGACATATGCATTAAATGAAAGAAGTCACAATGACCAGGAATTATATGGTACTGTTTTCTGCACCTGTAACATTGTAATTATTTTTTATCTTATTAGAATGTTTAATGAATTAATTCTTTCCACTGTAGGACACTGCATTAAGGACTTAGTGTTGCTGTGTTTGGTGGTGTTAACCATTGGTCCACACTCTGACTCTTAACCCTTAAATGGTGGTTATCATTGGTGGAAGTTTCTTGTTACCCTGTGCTTAAAGTTTGTGCACACGGGGTTAGTCCTTCGCCGCCACTTAAGGGCTAAGAATAATAACTTTAACTTTCTAGGTTAGTGAAGTCCATTGACTCAGATTTACCGGTAAATGCGTAGTAACTTATGTTAAATAGACTGACCAAAACTGTATTATCACCGGTGTTTGTCGAGCGGGGTGTTGTGTTGCCCAGGGCTTACACAGCTTAAGTTCTCACATTTCCTCGGCGTAAAAATACAAGACGAATCTCTTCTGCTTTTGTGATTTTCTTAAAAGTGTTCTTAGTGAGTGCCTTTTAACAGATCATTTTGTATATTTTTATGTGTTTCACCCGATTGCCAGTGTCACTAATTTAATTTCGTATTTCATATGTATGGACTGTTTGGTCTTACTAATAGTGACTAAGTTTGTATAAAACACTGCCACTTTATGTTAAACTAAAAGCCTCAACCAAAATATTAATAATTATGTATTACTAGACCAATTAATAAATGGATGTAATTTGATTGTTGTGTTTTTTCTGTCCTGTACACTGCCTCCGCCTGGTGGACCGAAGGTTCATACCTATCCTCACTGGCTGCCATTAGCTGTCATGGTTACAGGATGAACTTTCACTTCTCATAAAAACATTTGGTGTTGCAATTAGTTCCTTTTCATGGAATTGAATGAGACAAGACTAGGATAATAAAATGAATTGGGTTATGGAAATAATACGGGAAGTCCTCGCTTAACGTCGGGGTTATACATATACAACTATACTAGGCTTGTATTGGTACTCACCGATGGGCGGAGGTGGTAGAGCGAGTGTGAGGTGGGTAGTGAAGCAGAGGAGGCGGATGGCGGGAGGGGAGGAGAAGAGAAGGGTGGGAGCAGAGGAGGAGGGTGGTGAGTCCCTGAGACTGTGCCAAGCCAAGGGAGGGTGATGCACCGTAAAATATCGTCTGTGACAACGCAAAACGACGTAGTATCGGATCACTGAAACGTTAAACAAATCTTTGGTTTCTAAACTTTAGCGACATAGTACCGAAACAACGTTAAGCGGGACGACGTTAAGGGCGGACTTACTGTATGTAAAGTGGTTGGTAATTCATTTGAAAATATCTTTCATATTTACTGTATTTTTTTTTTAGTAGTTCTTGTAAACATTTAGTGTATGAGTTACGAGAGAGCCAGTTGGACCCAGTGAGTGACACAGCTTAATGTAAGGCTTACAACAATAGCTGAGACAAGGCCGGTGTTTGACACGGCGCTACACCGGGCCACGGGAGACCCTGCTTTATCCTCCAGACACTTGATAGACTGTTGGATAATATGTTTAAGATCAGTTTGAGGATCCTCCCGGAGCCAAACGGTATCTTCACAGCTGCAGGTCATCTTATTGTTTGAGGCATTGATGATAAGCCCCTGCCTGGGAACTGTCAGGTCCAGTGATCTAGTTGGAAGTGAAGGTACTGATGTGGTGTTGCCAGGAAACCACTTGGGGTAGCCGAGCTGGTTGTTGAGGAACGTGAAGCGGGAGGTGGGCACACCCGTCATGTTCACACCAGTGAAGGCTCCTGGGAGGAGGGTGAGGCTGCTGTTGATGATACTCAGGTGAGAAATTTTACCTGTGAGCCATTCTGAACTGAGTCCGTGGGTGGAGGCATCCATGGAGTTGATGAAGACTGAGGCACCTTCAGGCCCAGTGTTTATGGCTCTGGGTGCTGGAGCTTGAGACAGAATCACATTCTCCAGGCGTAGCTCGTGAAGGGAGCCCACAATGGCATTGTGTTGAAGGTTTGTGATGAATGAGTTGCGGATGATTATGTTCTCCTTCATGTTGGGACCACCTTCACCCTGCAGTTGGATGGCATCCTCTGCCAGCGACAATCTCCACACAGAATCGAACGTCAACGAGAAATTGTTTTGGTGGAAGATGATCAGATGAAGGCTACTTGACTCCAGCTTAAGGTGAGAGATGGACTGGAAGGTGATGTCCTCTAAGGAGTCCAGACCCTCGAAGGCATTAGACGTGACAGTGACTGTAGAGTTGCAGTTGTGGATGTGGATGTGTGTGACGGTTGGTGGTAGACTAAAAGACAGTGTCAGAGGCTGTCAGGAGAGGTCAACTGCTTGTTAGTAAAGTCACATATTATTATCTTCTGTTAAGATACTGTATTCAGAAACATAAGTATAAGTACAGATTTAAGTAGACAATACAGTATAGGTGTAGTAATTCCCATGTAGTGGCTGAATTATATAAATAGCATCTTAACTTTTATATCAACAGAAACATTTAAGTACTGTACACCTGACAACTACCTTAATTAAACCTCTACACCTGGTGAGAAGTCTTGTGAGCTCTTTTTAGAATTAAATAAATCCAATTATTATTTCTATTTTAAGAAGAGAGACAATCTGTATACAGTACGTTATCAATAATTAAGATAAATAATATACAAATTTGTTAAGAACTTCAAGAGGATTTTGAGACAATATGAATAATCACCCTGTCTGTTCTGTCTGTCTGTGTCTGTTTTGTCTATATTTCTATCTTTCTGTCTCTTTTATCCCAGTTTGTTTGTCAGCCTGTTTGTCTGTTCTTCTCATCTGATTGTGTCCTGTCTGCATTTTTATCTATCTACCTCAATCTGTCTGTCATTTCTGTCTGTTATGCCCATCTGGTTCTTTTCTATCTCTTCTGTCTGCTCTGTTCATCAGTCTTTTGGTGTCTGTCAGTCTGTATCTTTTAGTTTGTCAGTCTCTTTGTCTTTCACTTTATCAGTCTAACAGTCTGTATATCTATAAATTTATCACTTTATCACTCTGATTTTCAATTTATCAGTCTGTCTGTCTCTCATTTAGTCTATCACTGGTTTTTTCTGTTTTTTTCAGGTTATCAGTCCACCTGTCTGTCTGTCTCTTCCCTTGGACATAAACAACCTTCAGGTCTAGCTCACCTGGCCAGAGTCACACGAACAGATGACTTTCAGGGTACCAGGCTGGTGGCTTTCACACTGGCACTGGCTTGACATACTTCCCTCATGGCATGGCTGAGCACTGACAACAAGGAAAGTGCCCAAATAAGCTACTACCAGCACCACTATAATGGTCCATGCTCCATAACCCGACGCCATAGTCCTCAAGGTACACCGGAAGCCACTGAAAGATAATATATTTAATTGTTGGTGTTGACGACTGAAACGACTAAGGGGTTCAGATAAGGGTTAATATCAGTGGTTCTTACCATGGGTTCATATTAAGTTCTTATCAGGGTTTCATATTAAGTTCTTACCAGGGGTTCATATTAAGTTCTTACCTGGGGTTCATATTAAGTTCTTATCAGGGGTTCATATTAAGTTCTTACCAGGGGTTCATATTAAGTTCTTACCTGGGTTTCATATTAAGTTCTTACCAGGGGTTCATATTAAGTTCTTACCAGGGGTTCATATTAAGTTCTTACCTGGGGTTCATATTAAGTTCTTATCAGGGGTTCATATTAAGTTCTTACCAGGGGTTCATATTAAGTTCTTACCCGGGGTTCATATTAAGTTCTTACCAGGGGTTCATATTAAGTTCTTACCAGGGGTTCATATTAAGTTCTTACCAGGGGTTCATATTAAGTTCTTACCAGGGGTTCATATTAAGTTCTTACCTGGAGTTCATATTAAGTTCTTATCAGGGGTTCATATTAAGTTCTTACCCGGGGTTCATATTAAGTTCTTATCAGGGGTTCATATTAAGTTCTTACCCGGGGTTCATATTAAGTTCTTATCAGGGGTTCATATTAAGTTCTTACCTGGAGTTCATATTAAGTTCTTATCAGGGGTTCATATTAAGTTCTTATCAGGGGTTCATATTAAGTTCTTACCTGGAGTTCATATTAAGTTCTTACCCGGGGTTCATATTAAGTTCTTACCTGGGGTTCATATCAGGGGTTCAAAGTTCATTTAGTACTGTTTGTGCCTGCATGTGTGTGCGTGTGTGTGTGTGTGCGACAACAAAAAACTTAGCCAGACGGATATTCGCCCGGATGACTCTTACCTACACAACACCAGACGAAGGTTCGCTTGTCTCAGCACTACACCACACACTCCTTCACCTGCCACTTCAGAGCTACTAATAACGTCTTGGTCTTAATGTCACCACCACGTCCTGTCAGCTACTCCTCTGTGACGTAAGAATTTTCCCGTTGGAGTTTAAGTAAAACACAAAGATAACTTCAAAATGACACCTAACCCTAATTAAGGCAGTCTCAGTGTTAATTTTGTCTACTAATTGGTATAAAGTGAAGATATCTAGTTAAGGTAGAGTCTCAGTGTTAATTTTGTTTTCTAACTGGTATTAAGTGAAGGTATCTCAGTGTAATTTTGAAGTTATACCGGATATTCGTGTTTTACCTTAAGTCGACTAATCGGTTACCAGAATAATTCACCAAGCAAACCTCTATGAGTCAAATACAGCTGACCCTAACTCACCCCAGGAAAAAAAATGCATTGGACTAAAACTTAACACTAGAACAACGTAGGAGACAAAATTCTCACCACCTCAGTCTGGTTTAGGTCTCTCTATCCATCTTCTATATGATATTTCTCAATTTTCCTTTCCCACTGTCTCTCTATCATATATCTCAATCTCTCCCTCTCTTAATCTCTCTCTTGTTATATCTCTATCTCCTAAGTTTCATTCTCTCCCTTTATATTTATTTTTACCGTCGAAGGCGTGTAGGAGACCCTGTAAGTAAAGACAAGAGTGTTGAGTCAGGATGTCCGCTTAGGAAATCACCCCCCTCCCCCACACACTCTCTCTCTCTCTCTCTCTCTCTCTCTCTCTCTCTCTCTCTCTCTCTCTCTCTACACCTGTGAAGTAACCAATAAAGTATTCAAGAGTGTTATTTGTTGAATAAGTATAATATCCATGTTTACATTTCTCTATCTAAGCTGGGCTAGAATGAACCTTGTATTGTGTATAGTAACCATTACACGCCTTTTCACATGTTTTGTGTCATTCGGTTATGAAATTTGTTAATTAGTTATGTAACAATGTCTCAATAGATATGTGAAAAGGTGTATTGCTAAAATATACAGACGTTAATACACAATGTAATCATTACGTCGTTTTAAATACCAGCCAGGAAAACTGTATCCCTTGAATGAGTCGTGTCTTCAATTTCCTTTTGGTTTATTACTTGCCTGAAATCATTCGTTCTCTTTATTCTCGTACTGCAGGAAATTGGGTTTATTTCCTTTATCTTCATTAGTAACATGACACAAACTTCACGCCGCTCGCACTTATTTTTTTATCAGTGCGTTTCTTAAGTATCTTTGTATGGCAACAATCATAACCTAACCTACAACACGGTACACGATACTAATTATACACGGTACTTTGCTTTACACAGTACCTTATGTGATACTCAGGAAAAGCAACTACAGTATAAATAGTAGTGGATGTGACGCTGTGTTTTTTCTAATACATCACTGAAACATTGTGAAATTTCCCATGTTAAGCGGATAATAATTTAGACATTTTGTGGGTGTCTGTTTTAGTGACATATAACACAATATATAACCTAATACCTGTTATTTTAAGTAAGACTAAAAACAAATATATATTAATAATCTGTTATCATTACTTCCTGTTATGTAAAGATAAAAATATCCCATATACTGGTAATTTTGGTATGTTTCTCTCTGATAATAATATTTGTGATATTTCAAATTTATTTAGTACGAAGAATCTTTTTTTTTTTTTGATAGGTGTAAAGATGTTTCCTCCACAATGCGCTAACGTTGTTTTTTGTCTCTTTAACGATAAACGGATATGGTCCCAGCTCCACCCAATGATGTTTACTTCTCTATGTTCCGGTGGAGCAAATGACGTCATACCTGTTTCCTCCTCCACCCCCACGACCTGCCAAGAGACAGTAGGGACACGCACGTCGTCCTAGGGAGAGACATCACCTGTGCGCCTATAACAAGTGAACGTTCCTACTTCTCCTTCATTAAGACGGTGCTGCTACTGAACCCAGGTAGGTGTGGCGTTGTTGACAGATAGATGTTCCTTCAGCTGTACAAATCTCTCGTATGACCCAGTCTGGATTACTAGGTACAGGCATGGAAATCCTAGTTCTAGAACGATCTAATATCGCTAGAAAAGGTGCAACACAGAACGACTAAGATGATTCTGGAACTATTGTATGTCATCTGGATTATCCAAGTAGGCCTTAGGACTAACAACCCTTCAGACAAGGCACATCCTGAAAGAGATTTAAAACGTGAACTCGGAACATTTCTACGTGATGTCACTTGTCACGCAACACCAACACGAGAGGACATAACTACAACATCGTCAAGTTATCATGCAGAATTAATATAAGGAAATACTCAAATATTTTTCACAGAGAGGGTGGTAGACTTATGGAACGGTCAACAACAGCACTGGGCTTCAAAATAGACCTTGACAAAAAAACCAAGAACAATGGAGGGATCTTACACTCCTTCTCTTGGTATGGCCAACTCTAGGGGATGGCCATTAGTTAAATAATGTAGATGAATAGATAGAGAGAGAGATTAGGTTAAGTAAAGTTAGGTTAAAATCAGTTACATTATGTTATGTTAGATAAGGTAAGTGGCAGGGAGCAGTGGCCGAGTTGATGCAGCACTCGCCTCCTGTTCTGAGGGTCGCTAGTTCGATCCCGGGGTACCCTAATGCCACCCAGCTGTGAATGGATACCTGACTTTACAGTAGAGGCAGTGAATGCGATCAAGTGTAGTGCCGACCTCGCTACTGCAGCTAACAGACACATGGAACACAACTATATTTACTTATGCTTGTAATAAAGTCAATTGTTGTAAAGGCGTTAACTTATGATTATTGTAGTAGTAAGAACACTAAGTGATTCTCTTTTTATCTATCTGCCCTGCCCCCCTCCCCCTCTCTTTACCTAACTATCCATATATCTACAGCATCTCTCTCTCTCTCTCAGTTCATCGCTTCCTCCCAAAGGTCATCTTGACAATGTAGCTAATTCATCTTCTTCTCCCAGGATGATGGCGGTTCGGTCGTTCTTCGTCCTATTCCTGGCAACGAGAGGCGCCAGCCACAACATCTACACAGAGAATTCTTCAACGTTAACTGGCAACTCTTCCTCCCAGTTCGGCTACAGTGTCGCCTTCTGGGAGACCAACAACAAAATGAAGTGAGGAAATGAGTCTTACAGAGAGAGAGAGAACAAAATGAAGTGAGGAAATGAGTCTTACAGAGAGAGAGAGAACAAAATGAAGTGAGAATATAAGTCTTCACACACACACCACCATAATCACACCTCGCTCTCTCCTTCGTCAGGTTGGTCGTGGCAGCCCCCATGGAGGACAATGGGCTTGGCGGTGACGGTGAACATGGTTATGGTCTGATTATCCCAGGTGAAGTGTACCTGTTCGACCCCCATAATGAGTTTACCATCTGTTGCCAAGGTGATACCAAACTGGAGCCACTCTATGACCCAGGCTGTGAGTATCTGTCTGTCTGTCTGTCTGTCTATCTGTCTGTCTATCTGTCTGTCTGTCTGTCTATCTCAGTGAAGGCTTATCCCTGGAAGCTACTGAATAACCAGATGTAAACATAGAGAAGAACGCACAAAGAGAGACAGGACCTTAACTAACTAGCACCTGTACCTTCCTCCTGACAGCTGATAAGAAGGACCTCAGGACGTATGGTAAAGGAGGCTATTACTTTGGTCTCGGGTCAACTGTGGTCACCGGGTCATCTGCTAACGCTCCTCTCCTGGTAGGTCGAGTGTGTGTGTGTGTGTGAGTGAATGTAATACAGAGTGTGTGGGTGGGTAGAGTGTGTGTGTGAGAAAGACAGTGAGTGTGTGTGGGAAAGACAGTAAGTGTGTGTGTGTGAAAAAGAGAGGGAGTGTATGTATGTGTGTGTGTGAGTTTAGAATTAATTTTTAGAGCAAATGATGGAAACATTGAGGGAAGTTTCCGGCCACTGTTTTCAATTCTATCTATCTATCTGTATTTATCTATATCTCTCTCCATTTATATCTATCTCTCTCCATTTATCTCTATCTCTCATGTGTAGATGTGCGCTCCACGATCTTCATACTATAAGCAGAGAGGAGGTGACCGCACAGTCATACCAGAAGGGGAATGTTTACTCCTATACGGTAACTCACATAAGCCTCTGCGTCTTAAACCCAAAACAAGTGAGTGTTGTCGCGCTAACCTTACTTAATTTACGTATAAGCAACTAAAAACAAGTATAAACAAGTAAAAACTGAATATATTTGTAATTTCTATTGATTTTTAAATTAATACTTTGTTAATGTTTCAGATAATGTGCGGTATTGTGGCTTCAGCGCTGCGTTTGATAAGGTATTTCAACTTTAATCAGATTCTAACTGTATTTACCTGTATTTATACATGTAAACTGAATTTGGTACTTACTTATAGCTGGATCTGTACCTTTATCTCCATCTTATAGCTGTAATTGTACCTGTAACTGTATTTTCATGTTACAGAACGACACAGTGCTGTACTTAGGTTGTCCCAGCAGAACAGACGATAACCCAGGTAAATATTACATACTTCTCGTCTCTCTTTCTCTTCCTTTCCAACATCTATTATCACCATCTCTCATTCTTCCCAACTTTAAGAACATAAGTATGGAGGAAATTGCAGCTGGTCTATTGCCCCATACTAGGTAATCTCATTTACACCCAACCCCTATCGCTCATATTTCCGTCCAACCTGTGTTTGAAGCTATCCAGCGTATGAGAGTTAATGATAATGTTTGGTAACTTCCTTGTTTACTCTGAGTTCTTTTTTTTTATCATTGCTTTCTCTGCTTTACTTAAATTAGGCTTTGAAATCGTTGTTTTTCTCTTCTGTCTGTCTGTCTGTCTGTCTGTCTCTGTCTGTCTGTGTGTCTGTCTGCCTTTCCTTCTATGGCTATGTCTGTCTTTTTCTCTCTCTCAGACTTGTACATGTAATCTACACTATTCTCTCTCTCTCCCTCACTCACTCTCACTGCTCTCTCTCTCTCCCTCACTCACTCTCACTGCTCTCTCTCTCCCTCACTCACTCTCACTGCTCTCTCTCTCTCTCCCTCACTCACTCTCACTGCTCTCTCTCTCTCTCTCTCACAGGATACTTGTTGAAGTACGACTTGACCTCTATGGACCTTGACCCCCTGGAGAGGAACCTGACGAAGGAGTGTGGGTCAGAGGAACCTTACGACGGCTGGGGCATGACGCAGAAGGACTTTAGGGACGGGGTACTAACATCCTGTAGGGAATCTGGCGAGGTGAGTTGGTTATACTGAGAGAGAGAGAGAGAGAGAGAGATACCCTAACCTAACCTAACCTAACCTAACCCTAATTTGAATCCTCCTTCTACAGGTTGTGGAGTTAGAGACATCACACCAGATCCTGAAGGAGGGTATCGGTGGCATAGGAGAGATGAAGGGCGCGGTGCTGACGGTATGTGACGTAGATGGTGACGGCGTGGGTGAGGTGTTGGTGGGGGCTCCTCTAGGGCGTGTGGCTGCAGGCGGTGGTTACAACGAGACGGGAAAAGTCTTTGTTGTGGGCGTAAAGGTAATGTGTGTGTGTGTGTGTGTGTGTGTGTGTGTGTGTGTGTGTGTGTGTGTGTGGAATTATTATTGTTTGTTTTTTCTTGTTCTTTTTTATGTTGTGTTGTTGTTGTTCTTCACTCTCATTCTCTCCCTCTCACTCTCTCTCTCTCTCTCTCTCTCAGGGCCTCAACATCACACTGAAAGGAGAGAAAGACTTCAGTAGGTTCGGCACCAGTGTAGCCTGTTTGGGCGACCTCAACCTGGACGGCTATCAAGGTATGTAGCCGTCTGACGCGTGCTTCTGTAGCTTGCTGTAGCCTCTAGTAGTCCTCTGTAACTTGCGGTAGCCTTCTTGAGCACCGTGAAGTCCTCTGTAGCTTGCGGTAGCCTTCTTGAGCACCGTGTAGTCCTCTGTAGGTTGCGGTAGCCTTCTTGAGTACCGTGTAGCCCTCTGTAGCTTGTGGTAGCCTTCTTAAGCCTCCTGTAGTTCTCAGTAGCCTTCTCTATCCTCCTGTAGTCCCTGATCGCCTCATGTAGTCCTCTGTATCTTCCTGTAGCCTTCTTTAACCTCCTGTAGTTCTCTGTAGCTTGGTGTAGCTTTCTTTAGCCTCCTGTAGTTATCTGTAGCTTCCTGTAGTTCTCTGTAGCTTCATGTAGCCTTTTTAAGCCTCCTGTAGTCCTCTGAAGCTTTCTGTAGTCCCTGATAGCCTCCTGTAGTTCTCTGTAGCTTCCTGTATTCATAAGTAGATGTTGGTGTTGATCTAAGGTAGGCTAGTGCTGTAGCCTACTGTAGCCATATCGTTATAATACTGGAATACTGCTAAGCCAGACGAACATACGCCAGCATAAGCATTCCTTTCTCTCCCTCTCTCTCCTGACGTAGACGTGGCTGTAGGGGCGCCACAGCACCCTGGAGGAGGCGCTGTATTCGTGTACCTGGGTTCTCTTGCAGGTCTCAATTCAGAACCCTCTCAGGTGAGTTGTATCCCCCCCCCCCTACACCATACTTCTGGAGACAGGTGTTGTACATAACAAATGAATAAGTTGAATATAATTGATAAACAAACTAGTAAATAAATAAATAAACAGATGAATTGATTGATAAGTTGATGTTTCTTAATTGCATATACCTGAAATAGTTAAGTGAGCAGGTAACATCCTCCTACAGGTAATACTACAGCCTCGCCAGGTGGTGGGTGAGTCACAGATGTCACTCTTCGGGTATAGTGTAGCAGGTGGGAAGGACGTGGACAAGAATGGGTATCCTGACCTCCTGGTGGGGGCACCTCTGTCCAACACCGCCCACTTCTTCAGGTAGGTACTGAGGTGTGGAGAGGGTGGGGGGGGAGGGGGGGGTCTCTGGATGCTATTTGAATATACCTGTTTTAATTATCTTTGTTACCTGTCGTGTACACACCTTAAGTCCCTCGGTCTCTAACACTTTGTCACACACACGTAAACTATTTTGTTATAACCATCTTGACTGTCACACACACCTATCTAACCTGTCGCACTTACCTTATTTCATATTTTTGTCGTACTCCACCTACAGGACGGCCCCGGTACTACGACTGCGTGTGTCTGTGTTTGAGTTTAGGAATAACCCCGTGGACCTGAGAGCGAGGACCTGTAATAAGGAAGGTGTAGAGGAGGACAGGAGGGTGTGTTTCTTTCTCTGCGTCACCCTTCAGGTCCAAGACGCCCCACACGGCCTAGATCTGGGTGAGGGTACTTCTGTGTGTCTGGTGCATCTCTGATTATTATTAGTATTTTTGTTTTTATTGTTATCCTCATTTATCTGTGTTTGTCTTTATATCCTATTCACTTCTCTGTCTCTCTCTCTCTCATCCTCAACTACTATTTCATCTCTCTACTTTCATCTTGACCCTTCTGAACCAACCGACCTTTCTTTGACCTCTCCTGTCTTCTGACCCCGATTCACCGTCCTCCAGAGTTGGATGTCAAGGTGGAACTAGATGTTGGCCAGTCGAGGAAAAGGATATTCTTCAAGGAGGACCGTAACACCACCAACACCATCCGCATGATCAACGAGACCCACAACATCACATATGAAGTCTACGCTGAGGTGAGAAAAGAAGATTTCATTTTATTTTAATGACCTAAAATTACTACTTTTTGGGTTTGCATTTTATGGTATTACTACTTTCTTTACTTTTATGTCCTGAAACTACTTTACGACTTGTTACTGCTAGCGTGAGGTACTTGTAATATTATCAGAAACCCATCACTTTATTCTAAAACACCCATCTTGCACACACCTTCTTCTAACGTCCCTTATGTGATATTCTACAGGATCTAGCCACTGAAGAGGAGTTCTTAGCCATCTCGGAGGCCGAACTCTACGTTACAGTCCTTCAGATTCACTCTTGGGGCTCACAGGACCTCTTGCCGGTGTTCAGGAAGGAGTCCCCCACCCCCTATGACTTGAGTAGCACCACATCTGTCAAGTTTACATGTGGGGATGACGTCAGCTCCTGTGTGGCCAAGACCAACCTGCGGCTCTCTCTCGACAAGAAGGAGTAAGTTGAGAGAGAGAGAGAGCGAGAGAGAGAGAGAGAGAGAGAGAGAGAGAGAGAGAGAGAGAGAGAGATCCGTGATTCATAGTGTAATATTTTCACTTTATAAAATATTCTTGTATTTTTTCTTTCTGTCCCTCTCTAACTCTCACCACCCTCAGGATCACCTTTATAATCGGGGAGACGACGGTGCTGGTGAATGCTACTTTATCAGTGGAGAACAACACTGCCTTTGAGCCAGTCCTTCGTGTCGGGGAGGTCTTTGGGATGACCCTACAGGAGTGCCGTGTCCTCGACAGCACTGCCTCCCTCACGTGTATGTCCAACGGCACCTGCGTCACCTCCCCCAAGAGATTCAGCCCAGGGGAACAGGTACAGTACTTAATTAGATCACCTCAAGTCTTCGCCACTTACCTTATTTCACCTGAATATTAACCTAACTTGAAGATTAACCACCCTAACACTAACCTAATCTAACCTAACACTAACCTAACCTAACACTAACCTAACCTAACCTAACCTAACCTAACCTAATCTAACCTAACCTAACTAATCATCCTGTATAAAGGAAGCTTTAAGGGGGCTATCTATCTATCTATCTATCTATCTATCTATCTATCTATCTATCTATCTATCTGTCTGTTCTTCATCTATCTAGCTATATCTATCTACCTACCTACCTCTGCTTTATATAACAAATTCATCCTGAAGCTTAAAACTGGGACCTTAAAACTTAAAACTGGGACCTTAAACTTAAAACTGGGACCTTAAACTTAAAACTGGGACCTTAAACTTAAAACTGGGACCTTAAACTTAAAACTGGAACCTAAAACTTAAAACTGGGACCTTAAACTTAAAACTCTTGATTGACAGTTTCATCTGGCAGTGGTGTTGCAGCCACAGATAGAGGTCCTCCTAAACGCCTCACAGTCAACGGAGAACTTTACCATCAAGGGCGACCTGTCCATGAGAGTGTTTAACGAGGATTTTAACGAGAGCGATAACCTTCCCTCCTACACTCTCCTGCCTAGGGTGGTGCCTTCGTTAAACTTATATGGGTGAGTAGAGAGATAGAGAGAGAAGTAGTGAGTGTGAGGGAGTGAGAGATAGAGAGAGAAGTAGAGAAAGTGAGTGTGAGTGAGTGAGTGATAAATGGAGAGAAAGGTAGAGAGAGAGATTTATATATTGGTAGAAAGGGAGAGAGAGATAGAGTGAATGAGAGACAGAGAGAGAGAGTAGACAAAATCTTTCTAGAAATTCCTCTTATAAACTTTAAAGAGAGTCATCTAAAATATCTGTGTGTCCCCTACAGTGAAAGCCAGCCGGAGTCACTTACAGTCAACGGCAGCAACAGTACACCTATGGCTAAGAACGTCACTTCTCACCACTTCTTCCCTCACGAGTACAGGTAAGCCGTGACGAGAGAGAGTGAGTGTGTGTGTGTGTGTGTGCGTGAGTGAGAGAGAGTGAGTGAGTGAGTGTGCGTGCGTGAGAGAGAGAGAGAGGGAGACCTATCTATCAAATATTATTTTTTCTCCAAATAACTTTTACACTTACACACGTTTCTCTCACCTTACCCACAGCCCAGAGAAGATGGGTGAGATAATCAACCATACATACGTCTTAACCAACCGCGGCCTCACTCAGCTCATCCACACCCAGGTAGAGGAGGAGTCACAATAACACAGTTTACCCTTAAATTCAGGTTAACAGAGAATGGATATATGTTAAGCGGTGACTATGACATATTTAGTAAATCCTTTATGGTGAGATTATCCCATCCTTAAACCATCATTCCCGAAATCCTATGTCCTTTAAATCTTCTCGGTCATCTCTTAAGCATCCTGACATCCTTCTTCCGCTCCTTCAGATCAATATATCCTGGCCAGTGAGAAATAGGACGGATGGGAAGCAGTTCTCCCTCCTGCAGGACCTCCCGGTGTTGGAGGTGCCTCTCGGAACATCTTACCAGTGCTACAATGTCACCCAGGAGCAGGACTATGAGTCGGGCATGTCAACGGAGAGTCCTGTAGGATCTGGCAACGAATCAGGAGGAAGAGGAGAGGAACAGATTGTGTCCTGCAGGAATTTCGAATGTTGGACTTACAGGTGAGATATTTTTATCATTATTATTTATTATTATTGCCATCATCATCGTCATCATCATCATCATCATCATTATTATTATTATTATTATTATTATTATTATTATTATTATTATTACTGCTGCGATAATTACATTTGAAAATACTGATAAAATTAATTAGTTTGTGAATCTCTGAAACTTTTACGTATCTACAGGTGTGAGTTGATGAACCTGCCGAGTGAAGGTCAGGTGAAGATCTACCTGTTGGCTGTGATCCTTACTGCCAACCTTCAGGTGAGTGAGAGAGGTGGGGGGGGGTCATCACGGCTCTCTGACTATCTCATAACTCCTCTACTACTTCAAACTATCCCTTAAACATAACTATTTCCCTTCACCTCCCACAGGACACTCATGGGCTGCTGAAGGTGCAATCATCGTGTGGGATCCAGGTGGTGTCCCCTAGGAAGAACTTGGCCTATCTAGATGACAAAAACCAGCTGGTGCAGGAGGTGAAGGTGGCTACACAGCTGGTCCTACTCCGGGAGATGGCCACAGATGGACCTCCTGCCTGGGTGATCATTATGTCTATCCTAGGAGGACTACTGCTGGTGGGGGTGGTCATCGCTGTCCTCTACAAGGTATTTACTAAGTTACCTTCTCACCTGTAGATTAACCTCCCCCTCATCTGACCAGCTTAATGATACTTGCCAGGTTAGGTTAGGTTAATGTTAGGTTAGGTTAATGTTAGGTTAATGTTAGGTTAATGTTAGGTTAGGTTAGGTTAGGTTAATGTTAGGTTGGTGTATGTATGTATGTGTGTCTCATTTCAATTACATCATATTCTTCTTCTTTACATCTGTTTATCACCAATATCCCATCCCTCCTTCTGCTGCCTAAGTTAACAACACCGAGTCTTTACCTCTCACAGCTCGGCTTCTTCAAGAGGAAACGGCTACCCTCACAACCTCTGGGGGAAGATAATGCCACCCACCAGCAGTGACGCCACCCCTCACAACCTCTGGGGGAAGATAATGCCACCCACCAGCAGTGACGTCACCCTCACAACCTCTGGGGAAGATAATACCCACCACGAGCAGTGACTACCCTCACAACCTCTGGGGGAAGATAATGCCACCCACCAGCAGTGACGCCACCCCTCACAACCTCTGGGGGAAGATAATGCCACCCACCAGCAGTGACGCCACCCCTCACAACCTCTGGGGGAAGATAATGCCACCCCTTCACCATCAGACATGTACATACGTTTGTCCAACCAACAGTGAGAAACTTTCCTCATCACGTTGTTTTAGTGAGCAGTGCCGCGTGGTCAGGTCAGGGAAGAGTCGATGAATGTAAATGATGTTGATTTATCTGTATATATTATCATTATTATTATTTCATTTGCCAATATTTATTTAGTCATTTATTAATTATTGCTGTAGTTATCATCGTTCGGATTTTGTTATGAAAGGAAATTACGTCAGACATTATGTGTTTATTAACTATGGTGATGTAATGTGAGTGATTAGAATAAAACTTGTGTGTGTTAACCCAAGTTGTTTAAAACTTTATGTGATAATATAATCTGTGACCTAATTTAACCTAACCTAACCAACCTTAACCTAATCTAACCAACCTTAACCTAACCTAACCAGCTTTAACCTAATCTAACCAACATTAACCTAACCTAACCTACAATAGGGATAACTTTGATATGATAACAAATGTCATCTTAAATCAAACAACAAATTTTACCATATACAAATTAATTTCCATCGAGTTATGACAAAAACTTAAACTGTGTCTGTGTGTGTGTGTCTGTGTCTGTGTGTGTGTGTGTGTGTGTGTGTCTGTGTGTCTGTGTGTGTGTGTCTGTGTGTGTGTGTGTGTCTGTGTGTCTGTGTGTGTGTGTCTGTGTGTCTGTGTGTGTGTGTCTGTGTGTCTGTGTGAGTGTCTGTGTGAGTGTCTGTTATGAGGGCCTGGTGTCAGTACCATCATGACCTGACCTGACCTCTTAATTTGTAGGTCACATCGGAGTCATAACAAGGTTGGTACTGTCAAGAGTTAATGTTTTACATGTACCTCATTAGCAGATTTTTACCTGAAGGGCTGAGTTTACCTGTCTCATTGTTTGGGTGTTAAATGTTTGTTGACATAATTGTGAGAAGGAAGTACTGTGCAGGAAGCGAGGAGATAGATGTGCCATGAACAAAACTAATCAATCCCGAGTTCTGTATAGAGTCGTGAATCCTCTATAATGTCCTTCAATTGTGTTCTCATTCCTTTTACTTATACTCTTCGATTTGATTTTGTTTCCATTGTGTGTTTCCCTGTGGATCCTTATCTACTATTGTATTTTTATGTTCCTATCTGTAGGGTTGCCAAACGTCCGTATTTTCCCGGACATGTCCTCCATTTAGGTCTCGAAATCTTCATCCGGAAGGAATTTTTTAAATTCTTCAAAAGTCCGGAATAATTTCAGCTTCCATCATTTTCTCCACGGAAAAAAAAACAGTTTGTGGAAAATTACAAGTGATGAAGAATTTAGTAATCTGCCAACACATAAAAAGTGGACGAGACACTTTGAAAAATCAAAGAACTTTGAATGTCACTCAGAATTGCTAAGAATTGCACAATTCTTCTTTACTATATAATCTCACAATCCAAATGTAGAAAGAGTTTTTTCACTGATGCAAAGTCAATGGACAAAGGAAAGGAACAAATTGAGTGTTGAAACAATGAAAAGCATTCTGACTGTACAGTACAACTTCCGAGAAACACCTTGCAGTGACTTCTACACCTTTCTAAAGAGCAATCAGCCAATACTGAAAAAGATCCGATCTACAGAAAAGTATGAATGGGCACCAAGTCACACACCCAGTGGGGGGAGAAGACTGCAGCTAAACAAGATATTCAGCCTTAAGCAAAGGTAATTTTTTATTTTTAAGATTTCTATACCATGTATGTTGTATATTAGCCTACATTAAAAACACAATGCAATACAGTACACCGATACTGGTATATATATGCTATGTATGTATGTATGTATGTATGTATGTATGTATGTATATGTATGTATGTATGTATGTATGTATGTATGTATGTATGTATGTATCAACACATAAATACCAAAACAGTAAAACAACAGCAAAACACACACAACAACAATTATCCTCACCGTTCTAATAATGCTAGAGTCTTAAGTCTTGTCAAGAGATAATCACACGAGAGTGGAGACATAATTGAATAATGAATATAATTACGAGGGAATGATGACCCCGATAATGAGGTCGAGTGATGGGACACTAATGACCTCTGACCCCGTGAGAGAGAGAGAGCAATATAGATGGATTTATAGATAGATAGATAGATAGACAGATAGACACTTACTAGAGGAGACTTAAGAAATACAGTATAGCGAGAATGTCTGTCTATCTCTCTGTTTCTGTCTCGTACACAAAGCACACTTAGTTATTAATTCTCTCTTTCTCTTGCCTGTCTCTCACTCCTCCATGATGTGTAATGTAATGTGAATGATAATGATGGTGAGATGATGATGGTGATAATTTTAGTAATGAAAGTATTAATAATTGTAATAGTAATAAAAATAAGATTAACGATGCTACTACTACTACTTTGGCAACTTTATCTAATTTATACTTTAAACAGTAAGCTTCATATTTGTTGTAGTTATGTAGATTTAGTTGATAATAGAGTAAATTATATTAATATTGGGATCTGGTTTAAGGTTTGGCGGAATACGTTATTGTTTTGTTTTATGCCCAAGTATTCCGCTGCCCCAGTCGTCAGTTGAACGTCTGCCACTCAGCTGTTCACATATCAGTGTTTTCTTAATTACTCTCTTACCAGGAGCCTCACGTCACTGGCCGCCAACAAGGACAAAGATGAGTGTCTGTTGTATTTATCTGTACTGAAGTATAGCAGTTACTAAACAACTTGCTGTAGTTAAACAAATTTTACTACTATACTCTTTGTGACTGATCGGGTCGTTAGTGTCATGGGCGGTTGTTCACTGTTGACAAGTACTGGGCATGTACTGGCTACAGAATGTATCTACTTGCTCCCGTGTTGGTCAAGTAGTGCTATCCGAGCTTCAATTAGGTCACCTCTTGCTTGTATAGTATAAGCTAGGCAGTTGCAGGCATTCTATCTCTAGGTAAGTGAGGTGCCGTAGTGCAGGTACCTCTATTGAACCACTTATAAGTAACGATATTTACTGATAATAAACAATAATAATGATAGTAATAATGACCAAATAATAACAGGGGTCACTGATATAAATAAAATATCCAAAATAGTTTTTTTCCTTCTTTAATATTTAATACTTTCTAAAAAATATTCCACATTTACTAAACTATTTCAGCTAACTCTTCCTAGACTGTTGTGTGTAGGCAGTGTGAATATGTGGTGATTATTTACACAGTTAACACACATAATAACTATATCTACAACAATAATATCACAGTAGAGTACACAGACGAACACACCATCATTAGTAACAAGTCCTTCAATCCACCTCCCGGTCCTTCAGGAGACGAGATGAGGACTTTAGTAGGTATAAGGAGATCCTCAGAGACGTCCTACTAGTGTGGCGGGTCTTGAGGATGTGGCTCGTCTTGTGAGGGGGTGTGGCTCGTCTTGTGAGGGGGTGTGGCTGACTCCTTCCCGCTTAAAGTCTGTGAGGGGAATGGTGAATCAATCGATAAACAAGTGGATTCGGATTCGGAATTGGGTTCGGTGTTGGATTTGGGTTCGAAAGCTATATTTAACCTTAATCATACACACAGTGACGTTAATCCCCCTTAAAGCTACAATATAATCCTATAAAAGCTATGTTAGTCTCCCCAAAAGCTAACTTAAGCTCTCCTGAAGTTTTATAGCTGAGGCATATAAATAGTATCTAACTTATAAATATTTAGCTCGAGATGCAGGTTTGTAATTAGGCTCATTAACAGGTGTGGAATTAGTCTTATTGGCAGGTGTGGAATTATAGATGCTAGCAGGTGTATAATAACAGATACTAGCAGGTGTATAGTTACTCCTTATAAAATAGGCGTATAATTAGACATTTCAACAGGTGTGCAAGTAGTCTTATTAGCAGGTGTATAATTAAGATATTCCAACAGGTGTGCAAGTAGTCTTATTAGCAGGTGTATAATTAAGAAATTCCAACAGATATGCAAGTAGTCTAATTTACAGGTGTGTAATTAATAATCAGGTGTATAATTCCTACCCAAGATGCATTATAATTACTTACCATCAGTGTACAGGTGTGTCGTACAGGTGTGTGTGTGTTGGGGGGGTGTAGCAGGTGTTAGTGATGGAAGTGGTGGATGGTGCAGCTGTGTCGACGTTTGACAGGTGCTTGGAAGTTGAAGGGCTTGACCTTTGTGTACATCTGTAAGGACAAAACCCACCACTAATTCCGCGTGATTGAATGATTGGTGGGTGATTGAGTAGGTAGATTAGGGGGGGTGATTGAGTTGGTAGATTAGAGGGGGTGATTGAGTAGGTAGATTAGGGGTGATGAGATTGGTCAGGGTGATTGAGTTGGTAGATTAGGGGTGATTGAGTTAGATTGGTAGGAGGGGAGATTGAGCGGATTGAGTAGGTAGATTAGGGGTGATTGAGTTGGTAGATTAGGAGGGGTGATTGAGTTGGTAGATTAGAGGGTGATTGAGTAGGTAGATTAGAGGAGATTGAGTTGGTAGATTAGGGGTGATTGAGCAGGTAGATTAGGGGGTGATTGGTGGGTAGATTAGGGGTGATTGAGTTGGTAGATTAGGGGGTGATTGAGTTGGTAGATTAGGGGTGATTGAGTTGGTAGATTAGAGGGGGTGATTGAGTAGGTAGATTAGGGGGTGATTGAGTTGGTAGATTAGGAGGGGGTGATTGAGTTGGTAGATTAGGGGGGGTGATTGAGTAGGTAGATTAGGGGGGGTGATTGAGTAGGTAGATTAGGGGGGGTAAGTGATTTAGGGTAAGTAATTTCCCTCTTATTTATATACAACAGCAATTTCGTCCATTTAACATCATATTAACAGCATTTTCGTCCATTTAACATCGTATTAACAGCATTTTCGTCCATTAAACATCGTATTAACAGCATTTAACAGCACGTACCTTCAGCTCGGGCTTGAAGTATTCCTTGACCGGTAGTATGTGACCAGACCTCTCGAGGGCAGAGTATGGAGGAGGGAACGATTCTCTCCTGAAGGGGGTGACGAAGGAGGAGGTTCTAGAGGTACGTAGTGAGAGGTCTTCCACGCCCTCGTCTTCATCTGATAGTCTCAAGGACCCCGGGGGACGCTTTCTGAGGGTGGCCCTGTGGATAAATGGATAGGGTGGTGAGGTGGATGGATTGGATGGGTGTTTATATGTATATCCAGTTGTGTTTGCTCTCTCTCTCTCTCTCTCTCTCTCTCTCTCTCTCTCTCTCTCTCTCTCCCTCCCTCACCTGCTAGGCACAGATCCATTCCTCACGTCTATGGCACTGTGGTAGAGTTTGTTATTGGTGCCGGGTCTGTTTCTTCCTCTCTTCTCCATGTCCTTCTTGAACGTTTCTCTGGCTACCTCTAACTCCTTCAGTCGCTTCAGGCGGTTCCTCTCTGAAGCCTCCAGCCTCTGTTGCCACATGGTGTTCAGTCGTGGTATGTACTTTGGTAGGCTCTTCCTCTGTGCTTCAGTCTGATGGGCGGAAGTGAGAGGTTGAGGTGATCATGACTGTGTGCGTGTGCGTGTGTGTGTGTGTGTGTGTGTGTGTAATCAACAGTATAAAAAAATATTCAGATCAACATACACACAATATGGATATGTTAGGGGCAGTGCGGATATAGCACACTGTACCCTAAGCCTTCGGTACACAAGGATTCGGCATGAGGAACATCGACCACCATCATTTTCTTAACTTAATCCATGTACCATTTCGCAGCTAGGGCAACTTGGGGTTTCCCGTCTGCGAACCACCGACCCTCATGACAGAAAGCGATCATTGTATCCATTTGGCCACTAACCCTGTCATTAATATATTACGTAATAAATATAAGTATGACGAATGTATCCAGATGGTCAAAGATTCACAGGCTGTCTGATGAGTCTTGCTTTAGGCTGAACAACCAAAGTTAACGAGATACTGTGATCCATTTCTGGGGTGTTTTGTTTAATAAATTATTAGGTTTTTTTGGTGTTTCTGTACACTTTCACTTCAGTTCACTACACTTCAGCGTGTACACCATCACTTCAGTACACTTCACCCTCTTTAACTTAATGCTCCTATAACCTGTGTGACTATACTGTGCTGGTTAGGTTAGTTTAGGAGATGGAAACATGTGTTGGTTGCGCTAAAATTTAATCAAATTTGCCTTTTAGTAACCATTTACAAATAGGTACACATATTAAGTTGTTAAGTTTAAAAGTACACATGTAGTTTATTAACACCGTACATGTGTGTTTTGTATGTATATATGGGTGTATGTGTAATACTGCATATGTATATTGCTAACACACACACACACACACACACACACACACACACACACACACACAACCAACTGGGCAATTATCACCATCTGAGTCTCCAACAGTTTGTCAACGTCCTCCTCCTCCTCTTCCTTGATCTGAAAGACAAGGTCAGAGGTCACCAAGGTCAGGTCATACAGCTACAATGCTACAGGGACACTACGACCGTGAAAGGAAAGTCCTCTGTTTTCTACAGGTTCCGTTTAGAAAGTTTGACGAGTTACGTGGTGATGGAAACTGTCCTGGGGGTCCTTCAGTGACCTGTTGTTGACGTAGAGAGTATCCTAGAGTCCTTCAGTGACCTGTTGTTGACCCAGAGAGTATCCTAGAGTCCTTCAGTGACCTGTTGTTGACCCAGAGAGTATCCTAGAGTCCTTCAGTGACCTGTTGTTGACCCAGAGAGTATCCTTCATGGAGGAGGTCTTAACAGTCAGCTGTAGGAGTTGAGGATGCAAGGGCGTCCCAGAAAGCCCCTTCACCTCCCTCTCTCTCTCCCCCCCTTCACATCCCTCTCTCTCTCCCTCCCTTCACCTCCCTCTCTCTCTCCCTTCACCTCCCTCTCACCTCCCCTCCCTCCCTCTTCACCTCCTCTCTCTCTCCTCCCTCTCCCTCTCTCTCTCCCCCCTTCACCTCCTCTCTCTCCTCCCCCTTCCTCCCTCTCTCTCTCCCCCTTCTCCTCTCTCTCTCCCCCTTCACCTCCCTCTCTCTCTCCCCCCCTCCCTCTCTCCTCTCCCTTCACCTCCTCTCTCTCTCCCTTCACCTCCCTCTCTCTCCCTCCCTCTCTCTCCCTCTCTTCACCTCCCTCTCTCTCTCCCTTCCCTCTTCTCTCTCCTCCCTCACTTCACCTCCCTCTCTCTCCCTCCCCTCATCAACACTTCGTTAGGGTATTTGGACTCAGTATATTAGGTTAGGTTAGGTTTGAGTTTCCTAGCCTCCTGAGATGAATTTTCCTCCCCGCCCCCGACCCGCTCTCCCCTTGGGCTGTACCCTGCACCCCCGGTTCTTTCACCTGGTAGGTATGCCTCTCATTCTATCTACTAACTGCTGTTTCTACCATTAACCGAACTAACGCAGATTGTTTATACGTTTGACTGTTAACACATCAGACAGACAGACAGGTAGATGAACAGAAAGACAGACAGGTAGATGAACAGACAGAGAGACAGGTAGATGAACAGACAGACAGACAGGTAGATGAACAGACAGACATACAGGTAGATGAACAGACAGACAGACAGGTAGATGAACAGACAGACAGACAGATGAACAGACAGACAGACAGGTAGATGAACAGACAGACAGGTAGATGAACAGACAGACAGACAGGTAGATGAACAGACAGACAGACAGACAGTAGATGAACAGACAGACATACAGGTAGATGAACAGACAGACAGACAGGTAGATGAACAGACAGACAGACAGACAGATGAACAGACAGACAGACAGGTAGATGAACAGACAGACAGGTAGATGAACAGACAGACAGACAGGTAGATGAACAGACAGACATACAGGTAGATGAACAGACAGACAGACAGGTAGATGAACAGACAGACAGACAGACAGATGAACAGACAGACAGACAGGTAGATGAACAGACAGACAGACAGGTAGATGAACAGACAGACATACAGGTAGATGAACAGACAGACAGACAGGTAGATGAACAGACAGACAGACAGACAGATGAACAGACAGACAGACAGGTAGATGAACAGACAGACAGACAGACAGATGAACAGACAGAGAGAGAGAGAGCTGCAAGGTATGACTGCTGCTGCTACTACTACTATTACTGCTGCTGCTACTACTACAGGCACTACGACATTTCTCTCACACACCTGTAGTAGTTGCTCCAACTCCTCATTAGCCTCCTCCTCCTCCTCCTCCTCCTCCACCTCTTCTTCCTTCTCTTCTTCCTTTTCTTCCACCTCTTTCTTACTCTTCTGAAAGCAAAATTACCAGTAAGGATTATGTGGTTAGGGTGAGTGTAGCTGTGTATGAGGAGAGAGAGAGAGAGAGAGAGAGAGAGAGAGTACACCTATTTTCTCTCTACGTCTGTGTTTCTGTGTTCGTATCTCTCTCTCTTCCGTTTCTCTTTACCTCTGTATGTTTTCTCTTTCTTCTTCCCAGTCTCTCTCTCCGTCAGTCTCATTGTATGTTTGTTTACACCCTCTCCCCTCCTCTCCCCCTCCCTCTCCCCCCTCCCTCCCCCTCCCTCTCCCCTCCCCTCTCCCCCCTCCTCTCCCCTCCCATCTCCCCCCCTCTCACCATGAGCACTATAGGGTGGTACTTGACTTCACCAGGTGGCGTGGTAGGTGAGGTGTTCCTTCCTGAGAGAGAGACGAGGTAACGCTTTAAGTGAGGTCCTTCATCCTGACCTCTCTTTCCACGACCTCGAAGCGACGTAGGATCTCTTTCTGTAAGTAAGAAATATACCACACAGACATTATATAAACATACACAGACAGACACCTCTAATAGCTTCTCATGTTTAGTCACAGATAATCATTCTCACATTAAATAATAAATATACCCCCTTTTGTTATAGTTTAATACGAGGTGAGGTCCACACGGTACTGTCACTCATTCAGCCACTCCCTCACTCACTCCCTCACCTCCCTCACCTCCTCACCTCCCTCACCTCCCTCACCTCCCTCACCCCCTCCCTCACCCCCTCACCCCCTCACCTCCCCTCCCTCATCTCCCTCATCTCCCTCACCCCCTCACCTCCCTCACCCCCTCCCCCTCACCTCCCTCACCTCCCTCTCACCCCTCACCTCCCTCACCTCCACCTCCCTCACCTCCCTCACCTCCCTCACCCCCTCATCTCCGTCACTCACCTCTTTTCGCTTCCTCTTGATGAGTTAGCCAGGGTAGTGTCGGGGAACATCTGGCAGTGGAGGTAGTAGTGGTGGTGAGGGACTTCTTCTGGGTGTTGACTGTTCATCACCACCACCCGAGACTGTAATGGTTAGGTTAGGTTAGGGTTGGGTTGGTTGGATGAGGGTGGGGACATGGGTGGGAGAGGTGGTGGGGAAGGGTTGAGGTGGGGAGAAGGTTGAGGTGGGGGGGGGGAGGCAGGTGAGGTGGGGAGGGGTGAGGTGGGGAGGCACAAGGTGAGGGTGGGGAGGCAAGGTGAGGTGGGGAGGGGCAAGGTTGAGGCAAGGTTGAGGTGGGGGGGCAGCAAGGTTGAGGAGGAGGGTGAGGTAGTTACATTTCTAATTTATCACCTCACCATCATCAACGTACTGTACTTGACTTAATTGGTCCGTCAGGGTTATCAGAACTCTGGTTGTGGTAGTGCATTTAACAACCGCCCCCCCCCCTCTCTCTCTCTCTCTCTCTCTCTCTCTTCACATCTATCATTTTGTCTTTCCATCCTTTCTCTCTCTCTCTTTATTGTTATTCCTTTCTCTCTTTATTGTTATTCCTCTCTCTCTCTCTCTCTCTCTCTTCACATCTATCTTTTTGTCTTTCCTTCCTTTCTCTCTCTCTTTATTGTTATTCCTCTCTCTCTCTCTCTCTCTCTCTCTCTCTCTATCAGTCAGCTATCTCCCCACGCCCTTCACTACCAAGGCCTTGCAATTGGATTGAATAATTTAGAAGCAGTTTCCCCCCTCCCCCCTCCACACACCTGACGTCATCAATTCAACCTTACCTGTAACTCTAATTAGGCCGCGTCAAGGTGTTCATTAGTGATAGGTGGAGGGGGGACTTAACTCACCTGCTCTCGACAGCCAATCAAAACTCCCGAAGACACGTAGTTAATTATGACATGAGGTTGTTGAAGGCTTATGAAGACGTGAGACTATGTGTTGTGCAGTTTGGCCGTGGCTTACTGACCTGTGTGTGTGTGTGTGTGTGCGTGCGTGTGTGTGTGTGTGTGTGTGTGTGTGTGTGTGTGTGTGTGTGTGTGTGTATCCAGCCCTTGAAACAGATGTGCATGTAGGTTTTTGTTTGTACTCTTGTTTAGCACTGTTCACCTTATTATCCTTGTATTTAGAGCCACCGATAGAAGTATTCTCTGGACAATACAAGGCTTTATTTAGTTATAGATCGAATGTGTAGTGAACCTAACCTAACCCATCCTCCACGACCAATCAGAACTTAAATGACGCTTTTAGTTACCATCTACCTATAACTAATGGTCATTTTCTTTGATAATT